TACAACAAATTAGATGATAATTCAGGAACTATATTACTTAACAATTGCTTGTAGTTCTGATCAGAATTAGACAAGAAATGTTGATTGAAATCATCACCATGATCGATAGTATCAAGTAATTTGGGGAAATTTGATAATTTTACAATTGATTCACTGATCAAAGCAAAATTAAAGTAAATGTTAGATAATCTGTCATTGAAAGAACCAACTCTTTCCATGAAAACTTTCAAGTTAGGCTCAAAATTTCCCGAGCCTGGTGACAAGTACTCGTTTGACAAATGCACTGCGATAGACGCATGCATACCTGAAATCAATCTGTAGAATAATTTCTTTTCAACACATTGTTCCGGTTCAGCATTGGCATCTTTCATTGACATTGGATTCGTGTTTGGGAAACAGTTTTCGGAATAAATAGCCTTCCACACGTCGTACGATTGACTTCCACCATATCCGGTGAACCTTTCTGGGTTATCCAATAAATTCACATATACACATTGGTGGTCATCATCAATATGGCAGTAATCAAAATCCTCACAAGTCTCTGCTCCACTAGCCGAGTCATCTGCCAACCCGGTGGATTCTGGACGTTTGATTTGTCCTAATTTGGAAGGTTTCAAGTTGTCGTTGCTTATATTTGACCAGTTATATTGAGAAGGTGGCAAAATTTCAACTGCACAGTTTTCAGTAGCACAGAAATGCTGGGTATCCCAGAATTTGCACTGCTTATCAAAATTCAACTTAAAATATCTAAAATATGGAGTCTCCACCAATGAGGTCAAATATGGGCGAATCTGTTCGTTTAAACGGTCGATATATGAAAATGTTGTATTACACGTAGGCGTGATAATCTGGGAGCAAAAGTCCGGGGAATCAAATGGACTAAACTTATTGAGTGATATACTACCACTAACCAATAATAATTGGCTTAGAAAAACCATAGTGGCGACTATGGAAAATTTCATTTTTATGTTTTAAGTAGTTGATATGCAAAATTTCTTTCAAACTTAAGCTTTTTTCAAGTAAAACGAATATATGTAAAAAATATGACCAAAAGACAACAAAGTATAACCAAAAATCTATAATGCAACTGAACTATATGTTATTTTATTCAGGTAGGCTATCGTTATATATCTTATTAATACTGATTAATGAAAAAAAGTTCCTGTCAATATTATATACAGGAGAATATGAACACGTATCAATTTCTTTTTAATTTGCAGCTAGAAAGTTCTATTATAGTCTATTTATATGGAAGGCTATGAAAATATACACTTGGAAAGAGAGGGATGAATGGAGACAACGGAATGCGAAAGGATTAATCGAATTTAATCTTTTTAGCAGTCTTGGTCATATCAACATCCTTGAAGAACGCACCGTAGGCCGAATGAGCTTTCTTTTTTGTATGTCCCCCGAATTTTAATAATTCATCGGGAACGGGTTGGTTGGCACCTCTTAAGACATTCATTAAGGCACCACTTAAGTGCTTTTCGTGTTCTGTGAATAAGGTGTGCGCGATACCTGTTTGACCAGCTCTACCAGTTCTACCAATACGGTGAACATAATCTTCAACAGTCAATGGGAAGGTCAAGTTGATAACGACCTTAACGTTAGGAATATCCAAACCTCTGGCAGCGACATCGGTCGCCAATAACAAGGTGGTCTTACCGGCTTTGAAAGCACCCAAGGCACTAGTTCTTTGTTGTTGAGACAAATCACCGTGAACGGCAGAAACCTTGAACGAGTTTCTAACTAACAAGTTTTCGATTCTGGTGGCTTCCTTTTTGTACAAAGCGAAAATCAAGATTTTGTCATCTTTGTTAGATCCAGATTGGTATTTTCTCAACAATGAGAGTAATTTCTTTTCCTTGTCATATGGTTCAATGACTTCAACAATTTGGGTAATTCTTTTGTTTGCAGACAATTCGTTTCTGTCACCAATACTGACCTTAACTGGGCTATTCATGAATGTAGAGGCTAATTCCCTGACTTCCTTTGGCCAGGTAGCGGTGAACATTAATGTTTGTCTGTTAGCATGGTTAGTTTGCTGCATCACAGACTTAATATCTTGTTCGAAACCTTTTTCCAACATTCTGTCAGCTTCATCTAAAACCAAATATTCAATTGAATCTAAAGATAAAGCTCCATCATTTAACAAATCAATCAATCTACCTGGGGTAGCAACAACCACACTGGCATCACGCAAGCTACTGACTTGCTCATGCTTAGAAACACCACCATACACGGCTACACATTTGAGTGGGGTGTTGGCAGTCAAATCGACCAAGTTGTCGTAGATTTGAAGGGCCAATTCTCTGGTAGGCGAAATACACAAAACCTTCAAACCCTTTTTGTTGTGGGTCAAAATGTTATTTATGGCTGGCACCCCGAATGCAAAGGTCTTTCCCGAACCGGTTTCTGCGACACCAATAACATCCTTCCCACTCAACAAGTATGGCCATGATACTGACTGAATTGGCGTAGGTGTAGGAAACTTAGAAATAACTCCTGCGATTCTCGAGTCTAAGTCGATCTGGTCAAATCCCAATAATGGACGCAAACCCAAGTTGTGTGGGTCTTCAACCGTCACTTCGTTCTCTTGCAAAAACGAATCAATTTCAGATTGCGGTAACTTTGTTAATGCTGGTGATTGGCTATAACCGGTGGAATCACTTGCATTGATCTTAGTTGGAACATCTTCGCTTTCTTTCTTTTCCTTCTTCTCCTTCTTATCTTTTTTCTCGCTCTTATCCTTCTTCTCGCTCTTATCCTTCTTTTCCTTCTTGTCCTTCTTGTCCTTCTTTTCCTTCTTTTCCTTCTTGCTCACCTTTGTCTTCTTTTCTACCTCATCTGTGGCCTCATCAGAGTGCTTTCTCTTCTTATCTTTGTGGTCCTTGCTCATCGTTAATACTATTATTACACTTATCAATAGGTCACTATAGACATATATATTTTTTTTCAGTATATTTTTTTTTATATTAGCGAGCCGCACAATGACCTGCTCCAGATAAATGAGCACGTGATATAACCACTATCACTATCTACTCTAAGACCCTTTTGTTTGTTTAGTTTTATATATTATGTGGTCGTACATATCTATAACATATTAGGATGTAGACGCAAACAATCCATGCAGCAATATACTAGACGTAAGCCAAAACGGAAAGTGTGCGCAAAAGACCAACACATTTCTAATAAACAACACCATGTGGTTATCAAACGTGGATGTAGTGAGCCCACCCACCCTAAGAATAGCCAGTAAATTCAAAGCGGGTTATACGCCGTTGGAAACATGGAGATATGGAAATAAACAGGTAATAATAAATTGTAATAATAAAGCACGAATACACGGATTCATTGGGTAGTAACGTAGACATACACATAACCACCAGCGCGCGTTAGAAGTACATCATATATTGAAGGTTTAGACAGCTACAGCATTGGTTCTTTTATTCCTAGGTGATGGCTGTTTGAACTGCTTGCTTTTCTTGTAGTGGATGTCAGATTTGAATTTTTCCGGCAATATTATAGAGTCAGCTAGGTCGTCGTCGTGATCTAGACTTGTCAAGATCTTGTAGTTTGTATTTGTATGCTTGGCCAGTTTCAGGGTCTTTTTGACCTTGCTGACCATTGGTTTGCCCTTGGATAACGCTGCAACCTCGGCGTAGCTGAGGTTTTTATAATTTATATCCACGAACGAATCCTTATCGTTCATGGTGTACTGAACTGCCTGCTTATCTTCATTGGTAATAAACTTCTTGGGGATTTCTTCGGCAGGTATGATTGGCTTCTTATACCACGATGGGAAAAGTGTTTTAAGCATGGTGAATTTATAGCGAGTTTAATAAATATTTAAGTAATGAAAGAAGACTAAAAATATGATACACAAATAAATAAAGCGATAACCACCTATATATATTTATATATGAGCGTATGAACGCACTCACAACTATGCGATCACATATTGTTTTGTTGGATTACCTTTTTGAGATTTCGAGTCTACACTATATACATTACACGCCTTCTAAAACAACAACCTCCGTGTCATATGAAGCTCCCCGGATGACTCAACCACATGTGTTATCTAAAGATAAGACATTTTGGTGATACGCGAGCCTCGATGATCAGATGACTTGGTAATATTCGTGATTATGCAGTATATACAACATACTATTGGGCTATTGTACGATGGTAATCCCTTTTATTGGGGGATACTAAGCGAGACGATTGACTTTTTATGCCGGAAGTTTAAGTCAATAATGTGATGTTTGTAAAAACGGACCGTGGACGGTTCCAGAAAGGGTTTTGAGTCTCATTAATAATTAATTACTGTAGATTGATGACCGCAGGTCAGGTCATTCAGAGTAGGAAACTAGTAGTACATCGACGTGGGTGTTAGACGGAATTGGAGACACACATGACATTGGTACATATTAATCGTGAGCTTCATGATCGTAGCAGCATAATATTTGCATCTAGCTTGTAGTGCTGTTGGCCAGGGATTCGAATGCCGAACAAGACATGAAAGCTTAGTGCAATCGCGCTTCCGTCTAGGTGCTTGTATTACATAGACGTTCAGTGAATCGAGTGTTTTGTTCTACGGCTTTGTAGTTGTATGTGGCAAAATTGCAGCTCCAGAAAAGTGCATAACTATTAGAGTACATTTTGCAACAATTGATTCTATTTGAACAGTGGAACATCGCCTGTAAAATACGCCCGAATATAGTACGGAACTTGCCTGTATGTCATTTAGACATACCCGTATTTGCATTTGCGCTAAAAAATTGAATATGATCAATTTGTGTTAGTACGCAAATACCATAATGGAGCCCTTTCAGCACAGAAAGAGGATCTAAGCCAGAATCAAGAAATCCGGAGTATTTTTACTGACACACAGATAGAATATATGACGAGGTACTTTCGATATTGTTTTTCGAGTTAGAAGACCCATTACACTCCAGAATTAAATCTTACAATGCTTTACGAAATGGGCCATCGAAATTATGTCATTTAATTTTATAGTAGGCTTTAAAAATATGATCAAGCAGAAGAGAAAATGGACTGTAGTACCATAAGTATCCACTGGCATTGGTTCTCGTTTGAAACACTACATCCTGGATATTAATGCACTAACCATACAATAAAGAAATTGTTTAATACTCCAAAACTAAAAACGTAAAGGAGATACCAAGTAAAAATCCATTCACTTATAACAGCTATATAGAGTGTTAACTCTTCAATGTTCAATATATGCTTCTTTATTCATGTATAATTAGACCGTCTTAGCCATTTTTGTATTTCAACCTGCACACAAATAATTGAAGGTATTCGAAAATAAATAGACAACCAACAAACAACTATAAGGCGTAACGTAGGAGATATTAATAGGATTGTATTATGGAAGGCTGGGGTGAAGTAAGTAACACAAGTTAAAAAATTCTTAGAGAAACTACTAACCGACTTAGATATCACGAATTGCTGCTACGGCCTCGTCTTCAGTAATCGACAATTCGAAGATTACATCACTACAATTTGATAATCAACAGAATTTGCTATGGTGTGGTGACTCAAAAGGAACTACAAGGTCATTTACACCTCAATCAACCTCAATTCCCATGCCATATCCAGCGTTGCATTTATCGCAATATTCGAAGTTTAAAACGAGTCTAGGGACTTCACCAGTAAAGCAATATTTAAATCACCAGAAGGGAATATTGTCATTGCTGCATAACTGTGTGAATTTTAATAATAGAAGAGGATTGGCCCAATTATCATTGAATAGCGAACTGTTGAAGGAGCCAGGCTTTAATAATTTATCATGTATGACCTTTAATTCCAACACCAACAACGATTTGGTTATAGCGGGAGATTCATTATTTAAAGTAGATTTATTGAAGCCAAATATGACTACTTCATTCAATCATACGGGAAAAGTTTCTATGATGGATAATACATTGAAATACCTTACTCTTGGTAAATCCAACGGTGAGATCGAAATCTTCGATCCAATAAGCAATCAAACGGTTAAATCGTTCTACGGCCATAATGGATTGCTCTCGGACATAGATGTACAAGGAAACTATGTGGCATCTTGTGGCTATTCATTACGCCCAAGACGGAATCAAGCATCTCAAAGTAGTTACATGATTGATCCTTTGGTAAATATTTACGATTTGAGAATGATGAGGTCTTTGCCTCCAATTCCATTTCCAGCAGGGGCTTCATTTGTCAAGTTTCATCCTAAGTTACCTAATATTATGATAATTGCGTCGAACTTGGGCCAATTACAATTCGTTGATATATATGATCAACTGAATGTTTATTTATACCAAGCAGATTTAAGTAACGTTAATGCTTCTACACCTACAACATCATCGAACACGTATTTAGCAAATCTTGAAGTCAGTGGAAATGGTGAATTTATTACGTTCAGTGATGGATTCCAAAACCTACATTTATGGTCGTTTAAGAATAATAATAGCAAGAACTTTATAAATTTTCCAAGCTATTTAGAACAGCCAGATTTTAGTCCACCATTTCAGCAAAATCATATTAACGTAGATGATGTGGTCCCATTATCATCAATTGGTATGCCTTATTACAAAGATTTATTACTTTCAAATTATGCTTCCGACTTACATTTTACGAAAGAGTTACTGAAATTACCCACTCATTTAGATCCCGAATTATTGCAAAATCAGTATTCACAAGTTCTTCCATACAACAATTTGAAGTATGGAAAAAGAAATCTACATAAGTTTTATGTACCATTGCAAAATAATGTGCAGACAAAACAAAATTTATTCCCAAAGTTTATTAGTGAAAAAAATGGCCACGACTCGTTTGATAATGAAAATAGCAATATTTTTGAATATAAGTTGCTGAACAAGTTTGACGTTCCCAACTGTTATTCAAATTTAAAAATTCAATACTCAAAGTTTGGAGTCGAAGATTTTGACTTCAGCTTCTATAATAGAACAAAATATAGTGGTTTAGAAAATCACTTAGATAATTCTTATATTAATTCGTTGTTGCAATTATATAAATACAGTCCAATTTTCCAGAATTTTATTATCAAACATTTATTAAAGGAATGGCTACCAAATGATTTGACAACTATTATCCAAAATGGTAATCCCCAAGGATCTTCAATTCTAAACGAATTAGGTTATATTTTTGACATGATGAATAAATCTCAGGGAAAAAATTGCAAGACCTCGAATTTTTCCAATGTTTTGAGTCAAAACCAGGTGGCACAGATGCAAGAATTAATCAATAAAGATGATTGTAAAAACTTGAATGCATTTGAAATACGAGCTATAATCGGTAAATTTAATAAATTTTTATTATCTACGTGTAATAACGATCTATTGAATCAATTTAATACTTCGTTAAATGAAATTACGAACATAGGCTATGAAATTGAGATTAAGAGTAATGGTTGTAACATAAACAACGTCAATTACAACAGTCAGTTAACAGTTGACCTAGTGAGTCCCCCAATTAATAAACTAAGCATTCTAATCTCCGCTAACTCCACGTCAACAACAAAGAAAAATTTGAATATATTGAATTATCTCGACTATTCCATGAACCAATTCAAAACAATTAAATGTCAACAGTGTAATAATTCATTCCCGCACCTTTTAGAAATAAGACAGTCATTAGTTCATTTACCACCTGTTCTTCTGATAAACGTAAACTTCACTGGGCAAGAGTTCAATCTAATCCAAAACTTCCCAAATTGGCTCGTCCCTGAATTTTATACATATAGAATGAATAATAAGGTTGGCTTTAAGCTACAGAGTAATGATAATCTTTCAAATAAATATGAGTTATTGGGGTATGTTTGTGAAATAAATCTGGGTTCAGAATTTTCGAAGGGTGAACATAATTTGGTATCATATATCAAAATTGAAAGCAAATGGTACTTATTTAACGATTTCCTAGTAATGCCTATACCTGAGTCTGAAGTTTTCGACTTATCTTATCATTGGAAGAAGCCTATTATAGTCATGTATCAGTTAGCTGACCGTACAGACTTTGGAAGCTTTCAACAGCAATCTTTCGCTCAATTACCAGACTTAAATGACTCGATATTATATCGCGATCATTTTGCTGGTGGAATTATGGATTCAATCAAACGAGAATATGAATTATTGACGAAAGACGAAGCCCCTAATGCAGGTACATTAATAGCAATCGATGCAGAGTTTGTTGCGCTAAACCCAGAAGAACTAGAAGTTCATTACGGTGGTGTCAGGAACCTAATTAAGCCTAGAAATCTTTCTCTTGCAAGAATTTCTGTCCTTAGGGGTGATAATGGGCCCAAACAAGGTATTCCATTTATTGATGATTACATTATTCATACTTGTTTTATCGATGATTATTTGACAAGCTTTTCCGGTATTGAACCAGGCGACCTAGATCCATCAAGCTCTACCAAAACCTTGACGACCTTGCAGACGTCATATAGGAAATTATGGCTTTTATTAAACCTAGGATGTATATTTGTTGGCCATGGTTTACAGAATGATTTTAGATGTATTAATTTGCATGTTCCTAAAAACCAAATTAGAGATACCGCCGATTTCTTTTATCTACCCGAATTGAAACGTAAGCTAAGCTTGAAGTTCTTGGCTTATATTTTATTGAAGGAAAAGGTTCAAACTGGTAACCATGATTCAATCGAGGATGCTAATACAGCTTTATTGTTATATAAAAAATACCTTGAATTGACAGCAATTGGTGAGTTCGAATCCACCTTACACAGAATATATATGGATGGTCAACAATTAAGATTTAGAGTACCCGATTCATAGTATATCTGTATATTTACTTGTATATTAGTTTAATTTAATAAAAATACCTTATCAAGTCTATCGTTAAAGATTTCTCGTGACTATTATTTTCTCTGCTAAATCTGAAAATTTAAAGTGGAAGTTCAAACTGGTAGTTAACGATTGTAAGTAAATCGGTGATAATCATGTCATTGTCGAATATACCTAGCATGAGCAATAATAATGGACGTGGTAGAACAAAAATAGCTACAGGGACAACACAGCCAAATAAAAAACTGCATACCAAATTAAAAAGTCATAATAGGTCATATTCACATAATAAAGTATTGAATAAATTATCCACCTCTTCAACACCATTAGTGTCAACAATGGGGTCCAGACCAAACTTGAACCGTTCTAAATCCACGGATGGATTAATTAGACCCACGAATAGACACGGTGCTTTGAAGAAGAATAGTCGATCATTTACCAAGTTGGCTGGCTTACAACCATTAACGAAGACTATACTGAATCAATCTATAAAGTCAAATAAGTCTACAGGCTCTCTAAAAGGTATGAACACGGCACACCATTTAGGCGGATTAAAAACTAGCGGTCGTAAAGGTAAAGCAATTTTAAAGCTAAACGATAACGATAATGATAATAATGACTACGAAGATATGGAGAATGATAGCGGAGATAACGACAATGAAAATGAAAATAGAAACGAAAATAATAGAGATGGAAGGGCTTTACAATCTACGAGTTTCACTAACTATGAGAATGATAAACAGGAGATTAAGGGTCCATCTCAGTTACCTTTGGAACGCTCTCTGTCAGTTCAAAGCTCTAGTGATGATTTAGTAGCCAATAGTAACATGTACGGTGGATCGCTACTCCTTTCACAATCAACAGGATTAACAAGGAAAATTAACTCTGCTTATAACAATAATAGCTCAGCTTCACCTATATTGACACACAAGGCAGCAGATACACATGAATCGTCAATGGGATCTACGAATTCAGAATCGGTAAGTGGAATATCATTTAAAGCTAATCCAATGGACAATGTAAACAACTTGCAAAATAATGTTGCTGAGCCGATTATAACTAATAAGAATGTGGTTCAAGACAATTCTTATCAACCAAACCAAACAATCTTCAATAACTTGCAAAGAAATAATCAAGCCCAATCTAGTTATAACAAGGTGAATGGTCAAAATGGTTCTAGTTCTAACAATGCAATTTCAAATGATCAGTCATTACAATCATATTTGCAACAAGCAAATCAGCCGCAACACAATATTGAAACCAGAACACAACAAAGATTATGGTTACAAAGAGAAAACTCATTAATGGATGTGGTCAATGTTGATCCAAATAGGTCAAATTTCTCAAGTTTGTCGTTAAACAATATGATGTTTGCGCATAATTATAACCAAAGTCAACAAAATATAAGAGATATATCACAACCATCCAACCAAGCAACAGGGCCTGTGACGCCTCAGAGCGAAGCTAGCACATATGAAATGTCACATAATAATAGTGTTAATGCCATTACTGCAAATAATGCTCCACAACCTGGGAATGATCATTCAAATAGCATGAGCAACATAAATGGTTTGCTAACAATGGTACAAAATAGTCATCAGAATTCAATCCAATCAAGAACAGAATTTGAAAGGTTGAATAGGGAATACCTTAACGTGAGAAGGCATCTAAATCCTATTGGCGAAAGTCTTAATAGGGTGGAAGAGATTATGAAGAACACAAAAGATATTAAAGTGGTCAAAAAGAATAGCCATAAGAAATCACTGTCAGTTTCGTCGGTAAATTCCAATTCCACCAATGCGAACACCTTTAAGGAATTCTCGCCATCATTCCAAGAGAAAGAGCAAGAAATTAGTTCTACCTTGAATAAACTTTGGCAAGAAGCATTGATATTGACCCTGTCTCTGACATCATCAACGAACTCAATAAGGGTAAACCCTCCACAGCCATCGCAGCAGCCAATACAAAGGTCCCATAACCCGAGGGCCCCATCTTACGGTCAGAGTCCTTACAGCAATTTGAGATCGCCCCAGACTCCAACTACCCGGGCCGTCAAATTAGCAGCACAAGCCCAGGCTGCCAACACGAAAAGACTTAACGAACAGCATAATTAGATTTAGACATACATAAACTAATAAAAGTACGTTGTGTATTAATGCTTATATGTACAAGATAAATATTTTACACGCATGACGTGGAATCGAAATGAACCTAACTAACCTTGTCTTTGTTTATGTTTACCGTTACTCTTGCAGTAAACATACACTCTACCTTTTCTTCTGACCATGTAGCAATCTTTGCAGAACTTTTTGACCGACGTTCTTACCTTGAAACCTCTGATTGAATTCAACAGTAATGGTGAATTATTGACCGCAGGAACAGTCAATTTTGGTGTAGCATTAAATAACGCTCTTCCTACAGTAGGACCAACCACTTGTCTTTTTATTATGGATGATAAGGCGAACATGATTTGTAGTTATAGGTTAGCCTTATCTGTTGTATGTTCTCGTTTAACAAATTTTTCATTCACCAAAATTTGTCGATTACATAATCCTGATTTTTGAGAAATTCAAACGCTGGGAATCAAAACTCAACACGTAAGGACAAATCATTACAAGATCTTGCTAATAAATACGACTTGAGTAATCAATTGAAGTGAATTTGGAGATGTCTACTCAATCTTACAAGAAACAGGATCCGTATTCCATTTCGTCTAGTGGTTTACCGGACAAAATGACGGTTTTCCAAGAATGTTTACAACAATTTAATGCATCACCGGTTAATGCTAAGAAATGCCGTCAATTATTAGCTAAATTATTAAGATTAATTTATCATGGGGAACAGTTTCCATCCCAAGAGTCCACAACATTATTCTTTTCCATTTCGAAATTATTTCAACATAAGGATTTATCATTGAGACAATTAGTTTACTTGGCTATCAAAGAGTTGTCCGCTACGTCCCAGGATATCTTGATGGTTACTTCGTCGATTATGAAGGATATACAAAGTGGGGATTTAATCTATAAGCCAAATGCGATTAGAACGTTGTCCAAGGTTTTGGATCCATCGACCGTGTCAGCATCAGAAAGACTATTCAAGAATTGTATTGTCGACAAAAATCCTACTGTTTCGTCGGCAGCGTTGATCTCTTCGTACAACTTATTACCGATTGCCAAGGATGTTGTGAAGAGATTTACAAATGAAACTTTGGAAACCGTTAATTCGTTCAAGCAGTTCCCAGCCAATCAATTCCAGTTACACGAGTATTATGGAAGCTCCACCACTAACTTACCATCTACTTCGTACATGTATCAATACCATGCTTTAGGATTGTTGTACCAATTGAGAAATCACGATAAAATGGCGTTGATGAAATTGATCACTTCATTAAGTGAAGGCTCATCCTTGAAGAATTCTTTATCTGTTATTCAATTAATAAGATATATCAACAAAATCTTGACAGATGATGAATCTTTATTGCAACATTTGTTGCCTATATTATCTGGGTTCTTGAAACATAAGTCTGACATGGTTGGATTAGAAGCATGTAAGACTTTGGTTGGGTTACAGCATTTAATTAAGGATGATGATTTTATGAAGATAATTGATACGTTGCAGAAGTTATTGAGTGTTCCAAGAACTGCAACCAGGTTTGCTGCTATTAGATTGATCAATAGAATTTCGATTAAGCACCCAGAAAAGATCATGGTTGTAAATTTGGAATTGGAAAACTTAATTAATGATTCAAACAGATCAATTTCAACATTAGCTATTACTACTTTATTGAAGACAATGGGTAGTAACACTATTGAATCTAGCACAGGAGGTGAAAATGTTGACAGATTGATTAGTAAGATGACTTCCTTAATGGATGAAATTACGGAAGACTTTAAGATTGTGATTATTGAGGCTATTGAAAACTTAGCATTAAAATTCCCATCAAAACACAAAAAGTTAGTAGCTTTTTTAACCGACTTATTAAGGGACGATGGATCTTTACAATTGAAGTCTAGTATTGTTGACGCTCTTTTTGATTTAATCAAATTCTTACCAGATATTAGTGCAAAGCAATTAATCTTAATGAATTTATGTGAGTTTATTGAAGATTGTGAGTTCACTGAATTATCTGTCCGTATTTTGCATTTATTAGGTGATGAAGGCCCAACAACCACAAATCCATCCTACTATATCAGACATATCTATAACAGATTGGTTTTGGAAAATTCTATTGTCAGATCTTCTGCCGTTATTTCCTTAGCTAAATTTGCCGTTGTATGCAAAGGTGAAGTTTCAAGAAATATTCAAATTTTATTAAACAGATGTTTGATTGATGTTGATGACGAAGTCAGGGATCGTGCTTCTATATCCTTAAGGTTTATTGAAAATTCCAAAGAAGAGCTAATTGTCACTGATTCAAAATACGATTTATCTGTGTTAGAGAATAAATTAACAAATTATTTGAACGATGAATCTAATTTTGATAAGAAATTCGATATCAGTGAAATTCCTATGATTTCAACTGAGGAACAAAGGTCTATCGAATATAACAACAAAATAAATAAATTGGAATCTTCCAATACCACTGAAGTTTCTGAAAAGGACAATCAAAAGAATAAATCCTCCAAGAAAGAAGGCGATAATGACAAGCAAGCTGGTGATGATTCAGCTTCTGGTTTATTGAAGCAACAAGCTTATGCTCAGGAATTATCAACTGTTCCAGAGTTTGCTGATTACGGTAAATTATCTAGGTCTACTCCGACACCAATTTACTTGACCGATAAAGAAAACGAATTTGTTGTTACTGTTGTGAAGCATTTCTTTATCGAATCACAAAAGTTGGTATTACAATATAATATTACAAATACTTTGACTCATTTAGTATTACAAGACGTTTCTGTTATTGCACAACCTGACAATGAATTATATCAGGAAGATTTTATCATATCCTTACAAGAATTAAGGCCAGAACAAACTGGTATTGTTTATGTATCATTTTCCGCTCCAAGCATCGATGACGAGGAATTAATTTCTGCGTTTGGTAACACATTATCTTATACTAATAGAGAAATTATTGATGAAGAGGGTAATATTGATGAATCAGATGAAGGCTGGTCTGATGAATATCAAATTGAAGATTTGGAAATTTCCCCAGGTGACTTTATCAGTCCATTATATAACTCCAATTTCACTTCAATTTTCGATCAATTGCCATCGGAAGAATCGTTTGTGGTTAATTTATCCAATGCTAAAACTTTGGAAAATGCTGTGATAAAATTGAAGTCCAATTTAAATATGATGCCATTAGATGGATCTGATTATGTACCAAGTGATGCAACTTCACATGTCTTGAAATTATTAGGAAAAGATTTGTGGGGCGGTAAAGTTGGCGTTTCAGTTAGATTAGCATTAGCAGGTGGCAAAGTTGTTGCCAAATTGCAAGTTAAATCAGAAACCGAAAACCTCACAAAGGTTGTCGCTGACGGTACTTCTTGATTTTTGAAAGAACATGTGTTTTTATTTCATTTCCATTGTTAAGTAGATTTCAAAATATATTGATTTATTAATTATTGAAGTAGTTTACATAGGCTAAAATACTCGTGCTCTAAATAACTCTATCGTCTACTATTTCAAATACTATATTACACCGTCTTTACAGTTTCTGCAATTTTATTTGCTTGTATATCAACCCCCCTGAAAAATAAACTAACAAGGCTGCCAACAAAATAAAGAAGAAAATCCAAATAACTGCTAAATTATCCGCTTTAGCTGCCGTTGGGCATGCATGGTGCGACCTCACTTCAAATATGTAGCTACAATCGTTAAAAGAACCCACGTACGAGACAGACGCTTTAGCCAACATCTCCCTGTCGCAGGTGAACGTTAGTATCGTAGATTTTCTAACTTTTTCCCCAGTTTCTTGATTGTACATATTTTCACAGTACGACCCACCAGTATAGCTCAACGTGATCTTCTTACCTCTCACGACAGGCTTCGAGGAATATTCTCCAATCGAGACGTATTTACCCGTCTTGGAATCAATGTAGTAGCCTCCCACGGCCGACGAATTAGTTATATCCTTGACTTCGTCGTTCGCGTCGTGCGTCTTCTTGAAAGGACTGGAGCACACCCCAATGGTGAAATTAAGTCCACTATCATATCCTTTTGATGCCCATGGCATCGCTCTACCTTCATTCCCTTTCGACGACAAACTACTCAAATCAATGAAATGATGCGATAAAGGACTCAAAACAGTACACGGTTCCAATTCCAAATCCAAATCCACTTTCTGTTTCTCTTGAATTTTCTTATTTTCTTCACCAGTTTCTTTCGACGCTACTTCTGCACCTGCCTTTCCCTTAGCGCTGTTATCATGGAGCGATAAATGTGCAACTGTATCAAAGAGATGAGCACCATTTTCCGTTAGCGTGCTATTCGGCTCAGATTGTTTTATAAAATATAATCCCAAGCATACAACTAGAAATATCGCGAAAAGTCCTAGTCTTTGATACAATCGAGACATCTGTATTCACCTTTATTATTGTATCGTATCTTGTATCTTGCAACTAAGAAGTCAGTTTAATCCTTAATGCTATTGATGGGATCTGTTTTGAAGAGATTCGGATAGAAAAAGCACGTGATTATATAATCAGACAAAATTCAATCGATAAAGTTGAACCAAGAAGAAACACGATTCGTACACCTATTAACTAGAATAGTATTAAGATTATGGATGCATGGGCAGATAACTCTGCTGGAATGGTGTCGCTTACATCTCCAGAAGTAGGGATTAAAGGAGGATCGCATATTTTGAATTATTCGGACCCTTTGTTAGCTAAAGTTATAGAGTTCAAAAAGGAATTACAAGCAGAGGTGGAAACAAATATTGAAAGTGAAGAGTCGGACGAAAAACCAATTGTTGAAATGATGATTGCGGCATGTGATGGGGATTTGGTTACTTTTGAAAGTGTTGCTAGATTGCACCCTGAATTGATCAATACGTTGTATCCCAGTGAGAACAGCGGTATATCGAGTTTAATCTACGCGATATGCTTTGATCAATACGCTATTGCCGAGTCTATCTTGACACACCACAATGGGGACCCAGATTTGCATGATACGCTTGTAAATAACTATACGCCGTTAATGTGGGCTGTTTATTTCAACCAATTGGATATGGTCAAGTTGTTACTCAATCATCAAGCGGACCCATATATATCGCCTAAAGACGACGACAAGACGGCCATAACTTTGGTAACTCCGGGAAAGACGCACGTTTATGAATATTTCAAGAACCACAACTTATTGCAGAATCAGCAAAGGTCATCGTTGGACAGCGACGATTACTACGAGTCGGGATTTCAATATCAGGACGATTCCTTGGTCGACGATTTATCCAATCAGATTAAATTGCAGAGTATCACTGCCACGGCTGGTTATTTAGAGGATGAAGACCATGAACAACCATCAGAAGATCTCGATGAAGAGCAAAGATTAGCCAATGACCCGTTACTCACATCTTTAAAAGAATTTGATTATGAAAAATTATCTCCAGATCAGTATATCAAATTCACAGATTCTGACATTCCATCATTATTAGATTATATTTTCGATTTGAGAACTAAGAAGCTATCATACCAACATGATACCAAGATTCCGGCGGCCATTTTATTCCAATTATTGAGATATTCGTATTTGAAAGTTGATAGCGCTGAATTATCTGAATTCTTATTTGATTGTTTCACTGCAAGATTAAGGTCAGTTACTAATACAAAGTCGGGAGTTTTTAATATGGCGACGGCTGATGATAATTCAAACTCAACCGGTTCAGGTGATATTGTACTTTTAAGTTACTGGTTATCAGTTATACAATTTTTGCACTTTTATCTAAGTAAAAGTGGTTTTTATTCGAAATTTCCAAAGTTTTTACAAGAGTTAATTAACTTGATTCAGTCATTAATAGCTACGTTGTCATTTTCGATTAACTCAAGATTGAATTTGTTGATTGATGATTGCATATTAGACTTCACTAATTTGGTAGATGTTTCTAATGTATTATACGCAAGGGATTGGAATTTTTTTAAGGGTAAGCGCAAATTTCACCCCAGTACATATGAAGATATTTTTGATATGTTGTACCCTCCATCTCAAACTGAATTAATGAAGCCATCACCAATTAGGTATATCCAAGTGTTAAATGCTTTGGATTATGTATTAAAATTACACCAGGTTAATACCTTGATCAAATTCCAAACCTTTTCGGAAGTGTTTTACTATATCAACTCAATAATTTTCAATAGGATCATATCACAATCGAAATATTGTACAAGATCAAAGGCTATCCAGATCAGGTTGAATATTTCCACGTTGGAAGATTGGTTAAGGTCTCATAACTATAAGAACTATAAACCTGATAAAATTGGACAACTTTCAAAGATGTTAGGTCCCGAAAACAATCTGATACATCTCAGCAACCTCTTAGAGGAAACCAATGATATTAAAAATCCGCATTCATTATCCTTCTACTACAATTCTTTATACCATATTGGAAAGACGCAATTGCAACCAACTATTGAGTTACTACAATGGCTCCAGTGTATGTCACTGTTAACCGACGAAGAAAGTTTGATTATAACCATTAACCAGTTTGATTATTTAAACTATTATCAGTTATTCAAAATAATGCACAAATTATACAAATACGAGGTCAATGAACCAAAACTTCCGAAGGCTTTATCCAATTTGGTTAAGAACTTGCAGAACCAAAAAGGTGAATCTCAGGTATCGCAACGCAATTTGCATTACATGACGCAGACCAACTTTTTACTGAAGGAAGTTTACATTTATCTAAACCCAAATTATGTGTTTGCAGTGGCCTTACCAAATTTAAACGAACTAATTAATAGTTATGGATCTGGAATTGGTGGTGTCAAGACATTGAGAGCTAAGAAATATCAACCTTCTTTACCATTGAGTATTATAGATGATGTGGATGATATATTGACTCAAAATAAAAATGACGTTAACGACACTTTCGACTATGACCAAGACAATAATACGGCCGACGAAGAACAAGAGGAAGAAGAATTCGAACGTTCGGCCAAGGATGTACCCTCCAGCCATAAATCGTCAAGTTTCAAGGGTGACGAACTTTTTAAAGAGGTTCAACTTCCAGGCTCTCTCGCGCATAAGAACTGGGGTGACGACGATATCGAATCAAACCCATGGTAACAAAAAGATCTTCTGACTCAATAAACCAAGTTATATAGATTATATAAAATATAAGCATATGTTTAAGTATTGATTAGCTACACGAATTATATGCACATCAACCTCAAGTAGATAATATAATATGCACTTTTGTCGATTGGCAGGCTAGATGCATTTTGATTATGTCCGCAATACTGGCTTATGTGGTACGACTCACACTCCAAAATGCATTTCCGATATATTGTAATTCTTGTTAGTGTTTGTCTCGATGTGAGTACAAGCTGATTCATGCAACTGGATCAAATGTCCTACTACTGCTCTACATCAGTAATCATACATCGTGGCTACTTTTCATTTACCTAAAGCTTGATCAGGCACAGAAGGATTAGACCCTACTTTGCATAATGCCCATAAACCTATTCTATCTTCTAGAAGAATGCATGGCCCCTTAAGCCAAGACTTCAGATGCGCTATTTCCTTCATATTTTTATGAAACTTAGCCATCTTTAGCTGAAGTAATGGAAAAATTGAAAACAGTTATGATCGCGTACCTGAAAAATTTGTTTACATTCTCGAGAACAATAGGCCTAAGTTCTGCTACACCAGAATCTGATTGCCGTGTATTGTGTTAACCATACATACCGAATTAACAATACCCGGCAAAACATGGTGTTATGTAGATACTCTATTGAAAGTGTCGAGTATATAGTAAGTTGAATATGATGAATTTTAAAATTTTTGGGTAGTATCGGAAAAGAGAGAATAATCTTAAATGTTTTCAGTCAATCGTTTATTTCAAGTCTGGGGTTTATTTCAACTCGCAGCATTTGCTGTTGCCAGCGATGGGTTTGTGAAAGTCGACTTCGACGTTTACCAAGGGTTAAATTTATCAGCTGCTTTATCAAGCTACTCACAGATCTCTAGAAGAGACGGGTCATATGACGTGTCCTTGGTTAATGAAAGGTTATTCTACGTTTCAAAATTGCAAATCGGAACTCCTGAAAGTGAAGTTAGTGTTTTATTAGATACCGGATCGTCAGATTTATGGGTCATGTCAACAAAGAACCCACAATGTCAGGACAACGGCGGTTCTATTGACTGTGAGAAGTACGGCACGTACAATGAATCAGCATCATCTACCTTCCACGACAACAAAACTGAATTTTCTATCCAGTATGTTGACCAGTCATACGCGAAGGGAACTTGGGGTACCGATACTATTTCTTTAAATGAAGCTTTGAAATTGGAAAATGCAAGTTTTGCAGTAGCAGATGACTCTGACTCTGATGTAGGTGTTTTCGGTATTGGATTCAAGGGCTTAGAAAGTAACCCAGAACAATATTCTAACTTACCAATAACTATGAAGGAACAAGGATTTATCAAGAAAATTGCATACTCGTTGTACTTGACCTCAGCTGAATCTGAGTCTGGTTCAATTTTATTTGGTGCTGTCGACCACGCTAAGTACGAAGGTGAATTAGCTACCATTGATATCAGTAAGATTAATGGTGACTATGGATACTTACAGATTCCATTAACTTCGGTTTCAGTAGATGTGGAATCGAATGCTGATAGCCAACCATCTGGTAGCACTGTTCCTTCAACTGGATCTAGTATGAGATCTCTCAACAATTCGGGCCCTCAATCTATTAAGACTAATAACTCACAAGCATTATTAGACTCAGGAACCACTTTGTCATATTTACAAGATTCCTTAGTGCAACAAGTTCTCGAACAAGTTGACAAGAATGCTTCCTACAGCCCACTGGCTGGTGGCTATATTGTCTCATGTACCTTGAGACAGCCAGGTAACAGTATGACTTTCAGATTCAATGACGAGAAGGATATCAAGGTTCCACTTTCAGACCTTGTCTTGCAAACGGGCCAAGACCCTAAGACTGGTAAGGCTATTTGTTTATTCGGTCTTTTACCAAGTGAAGATATCATCCTTGGTGACAATTTCTTGAGATCATCCTACTCTGTTTTCAATTTGGATGAAAAGACAATCTCCATTGCTCAACTCAAGCAAACTAACGACGAGGACATCGAAGTGATCAACTGATTAAATACCCATACTTCGAATATCCGCGGAAGAATCTGAGTTTCTTCTTGATGAAGAATGGTTCGTTATGACCAAACAATAACATTTTATAAAAATATACAGAATCTATTAAACACGAAGATAAAAATTACATCCTGCTATGCGCGAGCCTATAGGAGTAGTATTGTAGTAATCTCTTGTAGATTGGTCCCATAATTAGCACACAATTTGTGCTTGTTTAATCAGTAATTCTTGACTCAACATCACCAGAAACGAGTATTCACTATTCCATCAAATTTTGAACGACGAAATGGACTGCTTGCTAATTACAACTTTATCAACTCATGAAGGCCGCAATATGTCCAATCAATGTACCACGAATCGACTGGTCTACACTACCTACACCTCGACTAATAACTTATCATTCAATTAAAATATTCATGAAACTTTCAATGCACAAGTATTGCACGTCATATATACAAGAGTCACCAGACTTATTTCATCTTAGCTAGGAAATTATTGTTATTAATTTTGGCTGTGTTGGCCTTGGTTATTTGTTTTCTCCTCCATTTCATGAAATCCGTTTCTTTTAATTTCTGGTCTAACTTTTCCTTATCAAGACAATCCCATAACCATTCTGGATATTCGTGGTCTTCCAATGCAACCGGCTCGTCACCACTTTTTCTCACTTTCAAGTTTAATACTGTCCCAGCTTTACAAGATGATTTCACTTCATTATTCCTTAACATGCTGGATACCATGAACGTCCTTGCATTAAAAACGCCTAACCTCAACGGGGTCCTCGTTATGACAACTTTACTTAACATTATTCTGACTAATTATTCCTTTAGAACCGTCTACCTAAAAGATGAATACTTCTACAATAATTCTTTTCATCTGAAGTGAAAAATTACCCGGTCAATAAATGTCGTCAGAATATTTTACAAAAAAAATCGACAAATGTCGCAAATTTCGACAACGAGCAATGCAGCCATTCTTGAAAAAAATTCAGTCTATATTTTGATAGGTTTTTCCCGATAATAATTCAATAGTATAGTAAAAATGGCTCCAAAAAAGAAGGTTGTTCAAGAAAAGCCAATATTATTAGGTAGACCCGGTAATAATTTAAAGTCCGGTATTGTTGGTTTAGCCAATGTTGGTAAATCAACATTTTTCCAAGCTATTACTAGATGTCCATTAGGTAACCCAGCTAACTATCCTTTCGCTACCATTGAACCGGAAGAAGCTAGAGTGATTGTTCCATCTTCAAGATTCGATAAGTTGGTTGATATCTACAAGCCAAAAAGTGAAGTTCCAGCTTACATGACCATTTATGATATTGCAGGTTTAACGAAGGGAGCGCATGCTGGTGAAGGGTTAGGTAACAATTTCTTAGCCAACATTAGAGCCGTTGATGCTATTTTCCAAGTTGTTCGTTGTTTCGAGGACGCTGACATTATTCACATTAACGATGAAGTTAACCCAGCCGCCGATTTGGAGATTGTTCATGACGAATTAAGATTAAAGGATATAGAATTCGCCACTAAACACTTGGAAGGTATCGATAAGATCACCAAGAGAGGTGGTCAATCTTTAGAAGTCAAGCAAAAGAAGGAAGAAGCTGAATTGGTCAAGAGAATTATACAATTATTGGAAGATGGTGGAAGAGTCGCCAACCAAAAATGGACCACCAAGGAAGTTGAAATCATCAACTCCATGTTCTTATTGACTGCCAAGCCAACCATTTACTTGGTTAACTTGTCTGAAAGAGATTACGTCAGAAAGAAGAATAAACATTTATTAAAGATCAAGGAATGGGTGGACGCTCACTCTCCTGGTGATTTGATCGTTCCAATTTCTGTCTCTTTAGAAGAAAAATTGGCCGGCATGGAAAACGACGAAGAAAGAGATGCCTACTGTAAGGAGTTAGGTGCTCAATCAGCTTTACCAAAGATTATTGTTTCCATGAGACAAAAGTTGGATTTAATTTCCTTCTTCACTGGTGGTCCAGATGAAGTTAGAGAATGGACCATTAGAAGATTCTACACTGCTCCACAAGCGGCAGGTACCATTCATACTGATTTAGAAAGAACCTTTATCTTAGCTCAAGTTATCAAGTACGATGATTTAATTGAATACGGTGACGAAAAGAGTGTTCAAGCTGCTGGTAAATTAATGCAAAAGGGTAAAGATTACTTTGTTGAAGATGGTGATATCATATTTGTTAAGGCTGCTGATGGTAAGGCCCGTTAAGTACCATGTATATAGTTTAATAAATCTATAATTTGGTTGCAATTGTTCTATGCATATAACCACACGTGCGAAAAATACTCTCATAAATTAGAAAAGCCTTGGGGCCAGTAAATCAACTATTCATAAGCGTTGTAAATTTAGGATAAATTGGACAAATAGTCATAAATGACAGAAATAGAATAATACATACCATAGACTGATATGAGATTTTCAATCAAAAGATTATCCATGTATGTTACGACAATATTTGGGTTGTTGTTTATATACTTGTTCGTGAATTTTTCAAATTTCAGAATACGATATAAGGACTATATGATCCATTATTCTTTGACCAAGGAGAATTTCAAACAAAGTGACGATATAACGAGAAATAGCATTCACTATGCAAATTATGAGTTTTCGTTGATGGAGGAATTTTCAAAAATGCATGATCCGGCTACCTTCAAAAAGAATGGGCTATCTGAAAGGTGTGGTGCATTCTTTGATTTTTTCGACAAGAAAGATAAAGACTGGAAACTTCGTACCTTTGATGATGCTACATTCGACAAGAATATTGTGCACAAAAATCTGTATTTCAAGGATGAATTAAAGAAGTTATATAAGACGAAGAAGGATTCTGCAGATCCACATCCGGATATTGTTACACGGAAGGAAAATGCTACTATAAATAACATGTTCTTAAAAAGATTAAGGGAAACGAAGATAACAGAAAACTTGATGGCTGATTCCACGACCTTATTAAGGATCTACGGCCAATGTTTTATTAATTCCCCGAACGTTGGGCATAATGAGGAGTTGCAGGAAACTTTTAATAGATATTCCAGAAAGATGTTTCCTTTTTTCACTAATAAGCTACCAGTTTTTGAGAGAGCTAACGACGAGATAATCGAAAAGAGCTTTCCGCTCACGCAGAACGGATATAATGGCAGAAACTATGAATTTGATGGTAAAAATGTAATTGATTTCATTAAGAGATCAAGTAACGGAAAAGGGATTGTGATATCTGCTTCTTCTTCGCATGTCAAAGATTTAGTAAAATTGATTCAGTTGTTAAGAGCAATGAATAACGAGTTTCCAATTCAAATTGTCTACAAGGGTGATTTGAATAATAGAGCTAAATCAAATATTATTCATGCGGCAACAGGGGAATTTAAAGAAGTAATAGATCCGAAGAATAAAGCTAGTAAATATCCCAAATCGATTGAAGCACAGATTCTATACAATACTGAAAAATATGGGTCTAAATTCCCCAAACAAGATTTATGGTTCGTTAACATTCGGGAGACAATTAAGAGAAGCTATAAGTATTCGTTTCCTGGATACGCAAATAAAATATTGGCATTATTATTTACATCATTTAAAGAGGTTATTTTAATGGATGCAGATACAGTTCCATTAGTTCCGCTTCAAGATTTTTTCGAAACACAACAATACAAAGAAACATCAACTATGTTTTTCAAGGACAGATCTATAAGAGATTTGAATAATTACCTAGAAACAAACTACTTTACAAAATTATGTCCTACTAGTGTAAATTCAATTGATTCTTTGTTTGACGTTAAACCTATAACAAATCACACCTTACTGAATCCATATATGACTGGATATAGACATTATCAAGAGGCAGGCGTTGTAATGATCGACAAATCTAAGCATTTTCTTGGTATACTTATGATGTTTCCATTGGCTATTTGGAAAGAACCAGTTAGGTCATCTGTTTGGGGAGAAAAGGAAATGTATTGGTTAGGTATGTCAATAGCGGGCGATGAAAACTATCAATTTAATAAGTATACCGCAGCAAGTATAGGAGAAATTGTAACCAATCCAAAGCATAAACATTATCCCGATTCAGATGCAAGTGAGATTTGTTCTAGCCATCCAGGCCATGTGGATAAAGATGGAAAATTATTATGGATCAACTCAGGTTTTAAATACTGTAAGAAGAATGCACATTTTAGGGATCGTAACAAATTTCCGTTCGAGACTTTTCTAGTTGAAGAAATAGCGAATCTATATGATTCACCATTGAAAATAAAGCATGGCATAGTACCACCAGACTTGCCTATATTAAGGCAACCAGGAAGTCCATTTGACTTAACGAATGAAAATTTAATCAAGGACGATTGGAAAGGAAGAACTAAAGATATGGACGAGCTTAGTGATGAAGAATCCATTAGACATAAGCAAAAAGTAAAAGTAAATCCTCAGAAAGGGTGGAATAAGAATTCAATTTGTTCCAGTTATCAATACTGCGCATATGATTTAATTGATAGCCATCCCCATAATGGCGGTCTGGTTGAGAAAGGCCACAAATTTGTATTTGATGATGAATTAGTTTCGAAATACGACTATCTAGGAAGCATTTGGGTTAACGGGAGAACAAAATCTCTGGTTTAAACAATCACTTATAATAGATATATGGGCACATAATGAAAGGTGCATTTTTATATTTATCAGTATATTATTTAATCACTTTAGTAACAATTGAATGAGTCCCCATAGATTTCTCGAGGTAGTTCTCACCATTGATTGTTGTTTTATCATTGTCTGTAACTACATTTTTAACTAATGATTCAACCTTCTTTTGAATCTCTAATCTTTCTTCAGCATTTAAATCTGTAATATAGGATCTGGTTTCCCAATACTTATATACATCTTCAGGCTTAACACGAGAAATGTATAATAAGAAAATCTCTTTCAATATTGGACTGAAGTATTTATTTTCTTTGCATAATAGTTCTTTCCACTTGCCATGACGGTACTGAGGTACTTTTATATCAAATGAATAGATGTACTCACTCACCTCAACACACCAAGGATGTAAACCGAAGAACTCTTCAATCTTAAGGTTAACATTATCCGAATTGGAAACATTGAGCTTGGACTCTACTTCAGGAGCAACATTATCATAAAGAATTTTATTTTCAGTTAATGGATGATGCAAATTTTGACTAATAGACGGAGCATCAAAGTTCCAAATACACCCAAGAGTCCCTGTCAGTTTTAAAACTCGATTTATCTCTATGAGAGAATTCTCGTCACTAAACCAATGGAATCCTTGAGCTATAATAACAGAATCCACAGACGAATCTGGTATCGGAATATCATATGAAGACCCTTGAAACTTCCTAATTTCTGGAAAATTTTTATCAAATGTCTCCAACATCCCTATAGAAGGCTCAACAACAATTAGCTGATCGCTCCATCCATGATCAACTAAGTTTCTTGTAAATTTACCTGTACCAGCAGCAAGTTCTAGTATTGCTTTCTTGTTGTCATATACAATTTCGTTGTCTTTAATCGATCCTAATCCTAAATCCACTAAAAATTGATCGACAATTTTTGGTGAAAACGAAGGTCTAAGTTGATCATACACAGAATGATTTGAATTAAAGGAATTGATTGCAGTCGAATGTGTTTGCGGCATCATTAATGAAATCAAGATAATAAGGAGAAATTATAACTGTCAAATTCGGACCCGATCCTCGGTTTTTACATTTTACAATAATCTTTAAATAAATATAATTCGTAACATATGTATATAATAAATAAGTGTAATAAGAGTTCATAAAAATATATAATGCGTGTAGCTCATTATAATGCTGAATCATTTAACACCATTCTAAAGTCGTTATCTTGTAAATCAATTTTTTGTTCTTGACAAAACTGATTCACTATGTATGTATTAATTGGATCACTCAAATAAGTGAAAGCATCTCTAAGAGATTGTAATATAATTAATTTATCAGTGGGGTTAGTGAATAAAAATTCCAAGAAATAAAAGTTTACCAAATCTGCTATTTTGTTTTCCCCGATTATTTTGTTGGTCAATATGCTTAAATTGTCAACAGACTTGGTAACTGCTAAGAATTTTATAATAAGATTTAAGTTATCAACGGATACATTAGTTAGACGAATCAATTTCATAAACTTCAATGATTTTTGAAAATTATTCAATAATGATAATTGAGACATGCCTAACGAGTCATTAATTGTTGCAGCTTTAATATAATTGTTCATCATTAAGCCAAATAATGAATTTTTATTGAATCTCTTGTTTAATTGAAAGACCTCATTCATAGACTGAAGGTCCGTGGCCTTCATTAGGTTGATTGCTAGCTCGTTTGAATCGTTAAATGATGCTACTTCGACCGGTTTTGATTCGCCACTCAAAGTTTGCATAAATTCAACAAATTCTATCAAGTTTCTGGTATCCTTGGATTGGTTTGCAATAGGTTTAAACTTCTGCAAGATCAAATTAAAGGATCCATTTAACGTATAATATTTAATGAGTACATTAATCAAATTCATGTTATTCATTAAAATTTTATTAGATTCAGGAGTATTGAAGTAGTCTTTGAACAACCTATTAAACTCATCAAATTTTTTTGATGCAATGAATGTTTCAAAAATAGATTGCAATATCTCTATATCTATTGGGGATTTCAAATTTAAGTCATGGATTGGATAACCCGACTCAAGGACCTTGTTAATTTGGTTATGATTTTTATTCTTAGTCAAGTATTTGAAATATCCATTAATCCATTCTCTTTTGTCAGTATGTGCAATTAAATATTCAAAGTTCTCATTTAAAATGCTAGCCAAATACTGATTTGGAGACGCATATATAGCTTGCATAAATGTTTCCAACAAATTGTTATTAAGTATCAGCGGGAATTTCAATAAAGCTTTGAACAAATGAATATTAACTTTCTCATTCTCTATTTTAATTAATGCGTCGATTAAGTTATTCTTTTCGTGCATTTCAAAATTCAGTTCCAATATAGTATTCACAAATTCATCAATTCCAATACGTGTATTCTTTTCTAAAGTGGTTAAAACAAAGTTTTGATTAATTATAATCTTCCACGTAGAATATGTAAATTTGTAGCCTTTGTTGAAAAAATCAATAAACCTTTCAATCCCAGTATTATAATTGATATTCAATAAAAATGCTAAATTTAGATCATAATCAAAATCAACCTCATGGCTTTTTGCTACCTCTGAGTACGGAGATGAAAGTTCAATATCACAACATGTGCATGCATCGATAATATCATTGGTTACTCTAAACCTTGGAATCGTCATATAATAGCTCATGAAATTAATAAAGTGTGCTTTCAACAAACCCTTGAATTCGTTCATTTCAGAATCCAATTGAATATAATGGTTTTCAGTATTTTCAAATTCGTTGATCAACAAGGATTGAAAATGCAAAATTTTGAACATCGTGGGTTCATCAACCTTTTCAATTCCCGAATTAATATATTGAATTAGGAATTTGGAAATTTGCAGTACCCCATAGATATTATCAGATTGTAGGTCAAAATCAGAAAATGCCTCATTGACCATTACTGAGTTGAGTAATAACTTAACATTGTATTCATTATTCTGCAACAATAAATAATTGATAATTTCAGAAACATAATTGTTCAATAATTTTGAATTATTCGCATAGTGAACAGCTTGATTCTCGATTATGTTGGACATCAATTCAAAGTAATAGGCGTTAAATCCATTGTTAGTTGAGCCGATATATAAATAGTTGTTGAGCTTTTTAAGCACATTTATGTCTTGAATCAAATGATTCTTTAATAAAATTTCCTTGATTATTTGGAAAACTTTTTCATGATCACCCAAATCAATACTTAACGATAACAAATATTCACGGCAGTTGAACGTTTTGTTGGTCAATATTAAAGAGACGGAATCCATATCCAGTGGGTGATGATAATCCTTTCTAATAGCAAGATAGCTATACAAGTTCCACATAATTCCATAGTAACTAGCCTGTAGCTTAGAGATTGCTTCGATTTTTTCTGGCGATGTTTTGGCTAATTCGTACTTCTCATTTTCAAGAAGATGATACTGATTAACAAATTGATTAATCATGTTATTATATAGAGTTACCGATAATTCAGGAATATAAGAAAGTTCATTAAATTTTTTCAATAAATTGTAAGATTTGTTCAAATTATCACGGCTATAATTTTGACTCATAATTGAATCCAAGTAAGCAGATAAAAGGTTTGAAATCTGCTTTTTTGAAATATATGGAGATTTGAAAGAGTGTAAAGAACTCTTATAATCTACCAAAATATCATCTAAGAATTTGGTTGCTAATGGAAAATTATCGGATTTAACCAACGACAGTACTAAAATAGAATAAACATCGTATTCGTATAACGCTAATTTCTCAAATGACTGTGAATTATTCTTATAACTTTGATAAGTCGAAAGGATAAAGTTATAAAATTCCTCCTTCAGTTGAAAAAACTGTAATTTACTGAAATATCTCGACAACCCAATTAGACCAATATAATAGATTCCTGATTCAGAATTGACGTTATCATTCAAGTTTAAAATCTTTACAAACAAATCCTTCGTAATTAAGTTTGAATGAACATTCAATATGGAAAATAACTGCGGCAAGATCATTGATAAATCTAAGTTCTCAATTTTGTTAATAGACAAGAATAATTCAATCCCGATTTGGGAAAATTCCTGACTTTTAATGAACGATTCGTTGTATACTGATTGAGGGCAGTCCGACATATTTCCTAATTTTATCGTTTGTAAACTCCCCCTTAATAATTCATTAAGTACAATCTCATAGGTTTCTTTGTTTGGCTTTACTTGTTCACTTGAGCCTACTAGTATATCTTGATAAACAGTCAAAAGATTGGTCAAGCGGGATTCGATATTTTCAAACGTTTTTGCATCATTATCTAATTTTCTCTCCACTATGGATTTTAACACGATGTTGTATAAATATATTGATGGAAGTTGTAAACAGTTTCTCTTCAATGTTTGGTATAAAGGATATATTAAATTTAACTCCGTGGGGTCTTGTTTGGCATATATTGCTTCGATATTGGAAATTTGTGTGCGCAACAAGTTTGATTCAAAGTCTTCTTCCTTGTCTTCGATTAATTCTTCGTATGCTGTTTCATTTATTTGTTGTTGATGTTGATGATGCTGATGATTTCTTATTGCGACGGTTGAAAATCTCCTCGTGGTATTAACAGAAAATTTAGGTCTTATTATGGACAATGTCGACAAAAAATCTCTTGATACCGTCTTCAAGTAGCTGATGTTATTATATATATCCTGATTCGCTTGCAGTATAATAAACTTGGTGAAATTGTCAAATAATCTGTGTTGCGAATTCCCATCCGCAAGCTGATCATAGTTATACTTTAGACTACTGCTATGCTGTTTTCTCTTGTTTTTATCACTATCATGGTTAAATATAGTGAAATACAATCCATAATGACCGGTATCTATACCTAAAAAGTTTCTGGGTGTAGCTGAAGGGTGTGGATCTTCATTAAACCATTTAGAATTATAGAATTGATGAAACTGACTTAAGGCATTGTGGTTTTTTAAATAAGGGTAGGAACTTTGAAAAAATTGTATTTTCTCACTGCATTTGACCAGTTTAACAAAGTTACAGAATACCATCCTTAATTAATCATTATATTCCTTAATAAAATTGGGCCAGTAGTGCTCTTTTCTAGGTGTTTTTTATTACGCCTTTTTTTTTTTCCTAAAAATTCTATATGCGCCGGAAGTTTTCGGATATAGGAACAACTCGGCATTCCTCTACATTAGTCATGTATAGTCTATAAAAGTATATTAAATAGAATTAGGAGTATAAAGGTACTAAATTATTGATCAATTAATGATAGCTTTAATATCTGCTCTATATCATCATTGTCCACCGGTTCTGTTTCCGATGATTTTGAGAGCTCAATCGCTAATTTAAGCTGTGCATCTTCATCATCATCAACACTTTCTGCTTTCGAACTGTTGGAATTCTGAAAGCTCTCACTCATGGCAATCGCTATTGAAAGCTCATCATCATTATCGTCATATTTGTCTCCATTATACTTTGTGAAAAGTAATTCTCTTCTGTGTTTAGCCTCCTGTAGATTTTCATAATCGTCTATTTCATCTTTGATATTTTGATGTACAACCTGTTTGTTGGAAGGTCCAACATTCAATCTCTTTTTAGCCGTGGTTGTTGTCTGCTGTTTTGGTTCACCAAATTGAAAATACTGAATAGCATCACCACATATTATTATACCGTTAGACGAAGTGGGGCTATCATTCAATTGTATATCTTTTATAGGAATAATATGCTGGTACATATGGCTTAGTCTCTTGGGAAATTTAATGGAACACTCTCTTATAAAGTCACCAGTAAATATATTATACAAATTAGTAAAACCATTGTATCCTCCTATGGCTATTACGGAGTTATTTAATGCGATCGAAGTAGCATAAGTACGGTCGTTGGGTATCGCCGGATGATGCTTATTAAATATAGGCGTAATTGTGCATTGTGGAACAATCTGAGTTGCAGGCTCTCTAATGTTCCACACGATTACTGTGTCATCAGATAAAATATTGGCACACATCAATCCATCACTACCGGCAATTTCTGGATCTCTATTATGCAATTTATTATATGGTACCGTTTGAAATTTGCTTTTAAGAATACTTACATCATCGGGCAATATAACGTCCTTAAGCCTTATGTTTTCTAAATTTTTAAAATTAACGACCTTAATTGTTGATTCGTAGCAAATAACAACGTTTGAATCTCCATAATCCACGTCAACGAAGCTGTTCTCAAATTCTTCAATTGACATACCAATTTCGATACTGACTATTTCAAACGTACGGATATGAACTATAAAAGTTTTCTTCTGTCCCTGTGCTATGATGTAATTCTTAAAGTCTGACTTGACTGTTATTATAGGCTCATTAAGTTCAACTTTTTTAATCAACTTCCCACCTAAATTCCAACACTTTAAACTACCCTTTATCGAGGAGGAAATGCAATCGATGCTTTCCTTCCGTTTATCGAAGTTATAGTTCAAGCAACATCCAGTTATAGTATCATCCCGAGAATTCTCTCCATCTTCAAATTTTATAAGTGATGACCGATTTGAACCAGATGAGGTAGATGTTATCAAATTCTTCAAGTACAACTCTCCATTCAATTTTCCAACTAATAAATAAGTCCAGTTAACTGCGTAACATGTTATTTGGGTCAATAAGTAGTTCCCAGGTATAAACGTTTGGTTCTTACCATTATTCAAATTACACATCGAAATATCACCACTTATCCTTGCAAATGTCAAAAGCTTATCCTGGGCAAAATTAGTCAAGGCAAAATCCACCAACCCATATTCATTGTTCAATAACTGATAGTTCTTGTGTGTTGCTATCGCCTTCTTCCACTTCTTGTACATTTGTAACCGGTATAAATATTCCAGGATCCAGAGCTTCGAGTTACTTACGCTAGGAAACGTCTGCCTCGTACCAAACTTTAGCCCAAAGGATTTGATCCATGTAGCTTTATCCAGTACAGCATAATTCCAGTGTTTGCAAACCAATCTCACAGAACACAACTGTATAGGGTCTAAGTTAGAAAATACCTGGATCAATATTTCATTAGGTAAGTCGTTGATTGTGATATACCTGGAGGATTCAACAGACTGGGCAACATGCTTGACCGTATTTCCCAACTCATCCACCTCTACACCATAAACATGTTCCATTTTCACTGAGCTATTCGATATAGTCTTTATCTTGGAAATTTATTAGATGCAATTAGTACCTATATAATGGCAAACGGTTTTCTAAGCGAGCAGCCTCGTGTTTCACTTATTACTCTTTTGGGAAGTCTATAAATATCCTTCTCTTTCATCAGATTCTTCTGTTAATTAAGCAGCTATATACTTATTTCTGCTCTAGGGTTATAATAACTATTTTGAAGCCTATTCAAATTCCAAATAAGATATGCTTTTTTAGGACTTTAACTGAAGATAGTTATCGATGCTAAACCCCACTCATTTTTTCTTTTACGCAAAAAAGCCCTCATAAAGCAAGAAACCTCAAAATATTGCCGCTATTTGTTCTAACTATATCAGACACTATCTCGTATCTTAGTTATCTTTGTTCACTCTGAAAGCTTTTTGCAGTAATTAACCTATAGACTTTCGGGACTCAAGAATATATGAAAAGTTACACAAACATAATTTTTCATTATTGAAAAAGTTCGACCTTTATTACCGAACTTTTCAAATTTCTCCATATTCCGAAGTTGTAATTTGTTTCAAATAAGGATATTTGTTAGCTATGTCGTCCGACGAAGCATCTGCAGAAGCATTGGCTCAAGAAGACATCAAGCAGATTACATTGAGAATTAAGCTTCCCGCTTGTATTTCCAATGAAGAAGACTTAGAAGTTCCGTCATTGTTGAACGAAACGTTAGCTGATATAAGGGAAACGTTGAATCTTTCGGCTGCTACACAGAACTTGACTAATTTTAATGTTTTCTACCAGGACATAAATCTTAGTGAAAATTTCGATGATTTGGTTCCATTGAAGGACATTTTGATCGAATTGGGTATTGGCGAAATCAATCTGTTGAATTTGGTATTGAAGGAAAAACCTTACAATTTGGCCGCTATTTATGATCACTTGAACAAGTTTAGAGAGGTTATTGGCTTACATTTCCTTGACAAGTACAGTTCTGAAGTTGGCGTTTTGAGTGGTGTTTCCAAGTTTGGGGACCTTGACTTGCAAGATGTTAAAGAGACGGAACCGGAAGCTCAAGATAATAAAGATAAAGAAAATGATGAAACTAAGAGTACCAAGGAAGATTCTGAACAAACCGAAGAGAAGAAACCAGAGATTGTGTTCACAGCTGAAGAAAAGCAGCAAATAGGCAAAATCACTGATGAGTTGATTTCTGGAAATACTCCTAGCTTGGTTGAATTTGGGACGTTTGATAACATCAGCGGTAGTATTAAGACACCAATTAAATCGTTGACTGTTTCTCAGTGGTCTCCTGTTCCTTCATTCCAGAAACTCAAAGGTGACTTGTTATATATTACGTTGCAAACCTTAGAAAACGAAACTTTTCATATTACTTGCCATCTTTCAGGGTTTTTCGTTAACAAATCTTCTACAATTAACTTTAACCCAGCCATTAAAATGAATGAAAATGGTAAAGTTAATAAGGATTATTTGTTAATTAATTTGGTTGATTCATTGTCACCTTCTTTTAGTAAAACAATTCAAGAAAATGAATTAGTATTATCAAGATCCAGCAAACATCCTGAATCTTTCTTGATCCCTTCAAACTCTTTAATGTCAAGTCCTTGGATTGTTAACCCATCTAAGTTTGCTAACCAACCGGATGCTTCGAGGTCACAATTACCTTTGATCTCAAACGGAGTTGACGGATCAGGATTCGTTAAAGAATGGAATGAAGATTTTCAAGCTATTCGTGAATTACCAAACTCTACCATTAATGAAAGAATTTTAAGAGAGAAATTATTAATCAAATCGTTACATGAATTTAATAAGGTGGCCACTGAAACTGCTATGAATGTTATCAAAGGAAACTTAACGCCATTGAATCCAAATGAACAGAAAGATTATCATATTTATTTGAGAAATGGAATTTTTTACTCATTAGGTGTAAATGCTACTGGAGCATTTGATTCTACTGGTGGTAATGAAGCAGCAAGATATACTTCGAGTAAAGATTTAGCAGCCATTAAACTTTTGAATAGAATCGATGCGAGGGGTATTTATAATTTAGTTACTTGTATCGTTGATTATATGGGTCAAAGAGTTATATGTCAAGCACCTGTTCCAGGTATTTTAGATTCCAGTCATGAAGATGAAAATGAGGAAGAAGCAACGGATAAGGTTTGCTACGGTTTATCTACAGATGGCTCAAGGATATTTAGTGACTCTTCTTTCGAAGATGTATTAAAACCTATTGCCGAGGCATTCCATTTAAAGCCACATCCAGTTACCTTACTTGATAACGTGAAATCACAAGGCGATTTAATTACTTCGAAAGACATAAAGGGTGTTAAAGGTACTGATGAGCGTAAATATATTATTGATTTATACAGAGCTACTCCTCTTGATATTGAGTTTATCGAATCTTACTGGGATGAATCTAAAGAAACATCTTATCCTCATAGAGAAACTGCTTTAAGACATGAGGCGGTTGAAGAATGGTGGAAACGTAAGGTCTCTGTATTATTCAAGGCCGAAACAGAACGCTTAGAAAAGGAAGGGAAATTGGAATCTAAAGACGGTGAAAAACCCCAGATTGTACTTCCTTCTGATCAGATTACTATTAACACTGATGCTTTTACGACAATTGATGAAAGCTCTGATGATCAAAATGAAGTTAGAGAAATTTCTAAGTTTGTCAAAGAGCATTTGATTGAAGAATTTTTAGAAGAAAATTCAAAACAAATATCTCCTTTTGATGGTAATCACTTAACCTCAATGTTACATAAGCAAGGTATTAATTTAAGATACTTAGGTTATATTGCTGAACAAGCTTGTGTTAGAAAAGATGAACACTTGAAGAAAATTGCTGAAGCGAAAAAAGCAAACGAGGAGGAAATTTCCAAGAGAAAGGAAGAATCTGAAAAGAAAGCAGCCGAAGCAAAAGATCAAGATAAAGAAGAAGAAAAGACTGATGATAATGAGAAAGATGACAAAGAAGAAGCCTCAAATGGTGAATTTGAACCAATCGTTGCGAACTTTGATTCTCTTTATAGAATTTCTGTTCAAGAGATGGTTGCTAGATCTGTGAAGCATTTATTGCGTAAGATTTCTGCTGATATTCCAGTTTACTTAATTCCAGCCTTTGTTTCCCATTTCCATAATTGTTTGTTGGGAAGCGATATTAATTCAAGCCCAGAATGCATAATCGATGAGACTTTAAAGGGTTTCTACAATGCGACTGAATTAGAATTTACTAAATTGGACAGTAACAAAGTTATTTCATTAGTTGCGAATGAAGTTTTGATTCGTTTCAGATATGAATTACCAACCAATTGGATTTCGACCTTAATCAAACCACTTCAATTATTTAGAGAAATTGCAATTAAATATGGTATTCAATGGAAATCCCAAGAATATGCGTTCACCAAAGAAGAATTTGAAAAGGTTAAAGATAAGTTAGCTGTAGAGACACAAGTCTTCGAAGCTAAAACTTCTAAGCATAAGAAAAATAAGAAACAACAATCTAAGCTTACAACAAAATCTGTTGACCGTACTACGATTTTCGTTACAGATGATATTATTAATTTTGTACCAATCGTGAAGGATTCGACCTATAAATCAAGTCTCGTTGATGAAATATTTGAAACTGCTAGAGCACAAATTTTCAAAGGTGAAAATGAAACCGGAATCAACTTATTGAATAACTTGTTGTCTGTTTACGAACAAATTTACGGCAGAGTTCATCCAGAAACAAGCAAATTCTATGGGTTATTATCTCAATATTATGCAGAATTGGGTTTAAAGAGTGAAGCTTGTAATATTGCCCGTAAGGCTTGTATTTTAGCTGAAAGAACTACTGGTTTTGACTCCTATGAAAGTATTACTGCTTACATCAATTCAGCATTCTTCGAAAGTACAAATGATGACTACATAAATGCCTTGAACTTGTATAATAAGGCTATAAATGACTGGACCCTTGTTTATGGTGATGGTCATCCATCCTCTGTCAACACGTATGCTAACTTGGCTGAACTTTTGTCAGAACATAAGTTATACCAGCAAGCTAATAAATTATTTGAAAAGGCTATTTCCATTTCGACTAAATTAAATGGAGAGGAATCTCAAATCTGTGGTATGCTTAGATACAGATACGGTGGTACTTTATTAGGAGGTGGTGATTTTAAATCTGCTTTAGATCAGTTTAAGTCAGCCAATGATATCTTCACTAAATTCATTGGTCCTGATGACCAACTTTCAAAGAAATCTTTAAGTTTTGTCACCAATATATCTACTTATTTGGCTTACAATGAGCATCAAAAGTCGGAACAAAAGAAAGCTCTTGCTCAACAGGCAAGCGCATCTAATGGAAAAATCAAAGCAAAATCTGCTGTTGAACAACAATTGAAGAGCAGTAAGAAGGGAAAGAAAAATGATGCAACTCAACCTAATCCTGAAATAGCTTCGAAATCTGTTGATGATATCTTGCAATATATTGAAGGAAAGAACCCTAAAAAGCAATTAAAGAAAAAAACAAGTAATAAAAAATCCAAAAAATGAATAGGTTAATTGCTTTATTTGTAAATAGTTTATATACATAACTTTATATATACATATATTCCATCGTCAGTCGTCTATTTATTGTGTTCATGGGAGTGTTCCGTAGAACGATCCTGAGAGATCTTCTGTTGTTCGGAATCTTTAAATAAAATAAAAATATTTCTGACAAATTCATAGTCTGCTTTAATGGCTGTCACCAAGTTCGATTCTATTTGATTGAGCTCTTTAAGGCGAAACTCTTTTGATGTTGAAAGGGTCATATAAACATTAGTAATTGCTCCAGAGTTTAAGACTGACAATTTTTCGATCTTGAATTCATTGTTAGCAACATCTTTAATTTCGTCTGTTACGATATCGTGAACCTTAGAGAATACTTCACTCTCAGCATTCTCTCCCTTATCAATCAATTCAACGATAGAAGTTTTGAAACTATCCCAGCCTGCTTTGATAATCAACACTGAAACACATAAACCACCAATTGAATCTAACCATGCAACATTAAATATATTACCACCAGCTACAGTCAATAATGCGACTACCGCAGTCAAAGAATCAACTCTATGATGCCAAGCATTGGCAACAAGGACCTTAGAATTGGTTTCAACAGCAATTTGCATGGTCTTACGATAAAGCATCTCTTTAACAATAATAGAACCACCAGCTAACCAAGCAGCATTGATGTTAGGGATCGGTCTAGAAGTAGCCACTATAGATGAATCTGGTGCTCCATCGCTCACATGGCTATGACTATGACCACCGACTTCACCACCTCCCAATCCAGCATGCGAATGAGAATGGCCAATTTGGATCATGGAGACATATTCAAACATGTAAGCTGGCAATGCAAATTCAAAAACTTGTAGCAATGAAGACCAGCCCACTGAAACACCCGCAAATAATAGAACTCCACTAACTAACACTGAACCGATAGTTTCAATTTTACCATATCCCAAGGGGTAATGAGTAGGCGACCCAACCTTCTGGGCTACATTGACTGTGGCCAACGTCAAAAAATCAGCAAACATATCAGAAATCGAATGAATAGCATCTGCAATTAACGACTGGGAGTGAAAATAAACACCACCAATCCCTTTAGATACAGCCATTGCTACATTCACCAATAACCCAATCCATGTGATACGAACCGCCGGATTATGCTTAATTGTATCTGTATTTACTGAAAGGAACTCATTCGGTTGATGACGTGAATGGGAATGTGAATGTCCAAGCAAGCTGTGCTCATGGCTATGTTCATCACCGTGTTTATGTTTAGATTCTCCATCTATTGTACCATGTGAATGGCTTGGTGCATCTGAATCCCGCTTCGTAGACATATTTCTTCTAGCTAGATACTGTTGATAAGAAATAGTTATCTGAGGTTCTCTTATTATATATGCTGTTGAAAAATTTCTCAAACTTAACCCAGAACCAGCTGAAAATGCACAATTATCATACCGCAAATTCAAGGTGATCAAAGAAGGCTTCAGTCTACTAATTAGACCTATCTTTAACATCTTAATTCGACACTGGAAATAATTAATTGAAGAACGATTCAAAATGATATGTTTTAGCCAATAATTGCCCGTTCTCAGAATTAATACTTCGAGGTCGGAGTCTCATGGATAAGATTAGTGTACAAATAACAACGCAATTACAAAAATTATGGTATTAACAGAATATTTCCTATATATGTGACGGTATGCTACTAGCAAAGAGTTTTTCAACTGTTTCTGTGGAAGTGGTTTCAGCAGGCTTAGATATTTGTTCGCCAACAGCTTCTTGTTGGCCATTTTCGTTTTCCAGGCTACCAGTCAATTCTCCCCGTAAAAGTTGTAGTTGTTTCGTTAATGTACTCTTCTCTTGACTTTTGAATAGACTGGACTTAAGTTGGGGGGTTGGCTTGTGTATATGCATAAAATTACAGTGATCACCTCTATTACACGTAGAACTTTCATATGCCCTACAATTGGCATCGTGGAAACTCTCTACTGGTGATAACTCACAGTGCACAGGACGTCCGCCAAACCACTCTTGATTTAGAAGCATTACAGCATTGTAGGCCGAATCTTCATTGGCAAATTTCACGTATACATTTCCGTTCAAATGATTATTATCGTTTTCACACACCACCATCGAACAGACCTCACCAAATAATGCAAACTTAAGAAATATATCTTTATAGAAGTGATCAAAGTATTCCTGGACTTGTTTTGGGTTTAGTTCTTCGCCATCATTCTTATTAAGCTTTGGGTTTTGATATAAATTTGGAAGCAAGATTGTATCTGAAGATGACGGTTTAACATGTTTTCTTGAACATTTCTCTCCATGTCTACATGCACCTATCTTGGTGTAGAAGGTACATATTATTCTATCTTCTCTGTAACTCATGTTTCGTACTATTATTCAATTTATTTATGTAGAAATCAATTTCTTGATTTCTATGAAACTTGCGAAGAGATAAAATCGTTTTGAGGTTTGCTTATTTGCAGACTAAGTCAATCTAACATATTCATTTATTCCACATATATAAGTAACGTATATAGTTATATAACGATGAACATCTCGCCTGTCGATGCTAGAACTATATATATATATATTAGCTTAGATACTTGAGGCAAAAATCATAAATTCAATAAGGAACGAAATTTCTCATTGTATCTGCCACCCTTTACTTCATGGGACTTGCAAATCCTTTGGATTTCAGCTAAATCGTCATCAGTCAAGTCAACGATTTCACCAAAATTCTTATTGATTCTTTCCTTAGTAGACCCACTTGGAATTGGCAAAATCTTGGTTACTTGTTTAATGCCTTCGAAATTTGACATTTTGGAAATCTTCAAAATCCAAGAGAGAGACAAGGATTCTAAGGATGTATTCTTCTTAGTATGTGCAAATTTATGCAACTCTTTTACTAAGATCATGTTATGTTCGAAGTTTTCAGGACTGAATTTGTCCATGTGCTTTCTGATATCGTCATCGTGTAACAGGGATAAGAAGGTATCGGCATTATCCACTGCATAATCAGTAAGGAATCCCTTCAATATAGGAGAATAAGCTATGAGTGGAATGTTACGTTTCGAGCATTCTTCCAATATACCATTACTTACTATGTCTTGACACAACAATGAAAATTCAACTTCGACACAAGAAATAGGAAACTCGTCGGACGCCTTTGCAATAGACTGAGCTCCAACTTCTGAAAGAGAGATTCCATCGATTTTTCCTTGTTTCACATAATCAGCAATATATGATACTGTTTCTGCAATTGGCACCCTTTGATCAACCCTAGCTGCTTCAAAGATAAGAGTTGGTCTTAAGGCCTTATCTTGAGGAAAATAAGAAATGATATTTTCAATTGATTTGGAAATACCTTCTTTCGATCCATCAGGTACAAAATTCGCTTGTAGACCACCTTTAATAGAAATAACTAATTCCGAATTTAATTTTGGATCGTTGGATTCCAAAAACTGTTTGATCAACTTCAAATTAAGCTCTTTATCTTCCATACCGTAGAATTCTCCCGCATTGAGTAGCTTAGTACCAATATCATTGGTTGTTACGTATTTGATCGTTTCGATCGACTGCTCGAATGGTGGTGGATTTGGTGTCCACGTAAGACTCATTGTACCATATCCAAATTTATCTTCAAGTCTAACAGTTTGATAGTTTGTGCTTACCATTGTTATTTTCTAATTTATTAATATTCTATCTCTAAGTTATTCCAGTAGATGTTACCCTTATCCTTTTATACTTTATCGATTTCTACCTATTGATTGCAAGAGATTTTAAATCCGCAATACGGCCGAATAAATTTCAGGCACTACAACCGTTACACTATCAACGAACATTAGTAAGCTCATTATTGACGTTGACGAATAGTTGAGCTATGTCATCTAATAACCGTATATGTAGCTTGTTTTAATTGCTAGAGAGGGGGCATTAGGCATACTTTCGTAAAGACCTGTCAAAAAGGTTAATGGAATTGCTACTTTTTTCAAGTGAGAACTCAATGTATACAATTCAATTAATAACAGCCTAAATTACAGATTTGCATGCAAATTATATATTTATAAGATAGATATTACAACTACAGTGGTTCTATAATATTAAGCATCAAAAACAGAAAACTTGGTCCTCTGTAGCTGATTTCATTACACCCTTTTCCCAACCCAATTCGGCTGAAATGTCAATCAAAGACCTTTTCATTTCTGGAGGGCCACAAATGAATAACTTATTTTGGGCATCTGGAGATGGCATATGTTTTTGGACCATTTCTTTTGTCACAAAACCAGTGCTGCCTTCCCACACAGTTGGAGCTTGAGTCAAAGTGTAATGAACATCGAAATTAGGATATCTCTTAGCAATTTCATCGATTTCGCTCTTCAATAAGATATCGTTATGAGTCTCGTTGGCAAAAATCAAGGAAATCTTGGTCTCATCTTCGGGATTAGTTATAATTTCGGTAATAACCTGCAAGATCGGAGTGATACCCGAACCACCAGCAATTAATCCAATCTCCTTGGCCATATTGGTCTTGTACTCTAATCTACCTACTGGTCCTCTAAATTTGACAGTTTGTCCTTCTCTAAGCATGGCAAATCTTCTGGAAATCTTACCAGTAGGATAAGACTTGACTAAGATGTCAAAGAACCCAGTATCGAACTGATTGGAGATTGGTGAATAATACCTAATTTCGTCCTTTCCATCGATTTCCATACAACATGCAACATTATGTCCCGGTGGAATATTTAATACCTCATCGTCATTATTCAACTTGAACCTATAAATAGCAGAATTTCTTGAAACAATAGTCTTGTCAATCAACTCAAATTCGTTCCATTTGAGGGTGTCTATTGACAGTCTCTTGGAGTAAGATTCATAAAATTTGACACTGCAAACAACTACTATAATGGCAATAGTGTACGGTAAATACTCAACACCAAAAATTAAAGTACCACCTAGAATTAACAAGATTGGTATGTAAATACCATGCAACGGCTGCTTTAATAATTCTCTTTTATCTTCCATTTTTGAGTAGCTATTAAACAGTTAAACAGTTATCAACTATCAATTATAGCTAGTTTATAATTGAAATATTTCAATTTATGTTCCGGTAGTGCCACATAAATTTTTTTTTTTTTTTTTTTTTTCTCCCGACTTACAAATCATGATAAACAAAACCTGACTTTATTACAGTAAACGATCATAAGATATAGAGAAAAGATATATAAAATAAAATAAGATTAACCATGTAGTAACCGAGATATATAACACTAAAGAGAAAAATTAATTATATAGAGCGAAACGAGGGGGGTATTAGAGAAAAATTCGTTAGAAATAAAATCACAAAATATCAATAGATTAGTATTCTTCTTCTTCTTCAGGATAAGAATCGGTACCTACTTCAATGTAATCTCTTTCTAAAGCAGCCAAATCTTCTCTGGCTTCTGTGAATTCACCTTCTTCCATACCTTCACCAACGTACCAGTGGACGAACGCTCTCTTGGAGTACATCAAGTCGAACTTTCTGTCAATTCTTCTCCAGGCTTCCGCAATGGCGGTAGTGTTAGATAACATACAGACAGCTCTCTTTGCAGAGGCTAATTCTGAACCTGGAATGGCGGTTGGAGGTTGGTAACAGATACCAATCTTGAAACCAGTAGGACACCAGTCAACCATTTGAACAGTCGTCTTAGCCTTGATTTGGGCGACCGAGTTTTGTACATCTCTAGTAACGACATCACCACGGTATAACAAACAGGTAGCCATGTATTTACCGGTTCTTGGGTCGCACTTGACCATTTGATTACCTGGTTCGAAACACGATGAGGTGATTTCCGACACCGAGTTAGATTCGTGGTTAGCTCTATTCTTGGAGAACACTGGAGCGTACGAGACCAATGGGAAATGGATCCTTGGGTATGGGACCAAGTTTGTTTGGAATTCGTTCAAATCAACATTCAAGGAACCGTCAAATCTTAATGAGGCTGTGACCGAGGAAACAACTTGGGCGATTAAGCTGTTCAATGAATCAAAGTTTGGTCTGGCAATATCAAGGTTACGACGACACATATCGTAGATAGCTTCGTTGTCAACCATGAAAGTACAGTCGGCGTGTTCCAAGGTGGTGTGAGTGGTTAAAACAGTATTGTATGGCTCAACCACAGAAGTGGAAACCTGTGGAGCTGGATAGACGGCGAATTCTAACTTGGATTTCTTACCATAATCAATAGATAATTGTTCCAATAATAACGATCCCAAACCAGAACCAGTACCCCCACCTAAAGAATGGGTGAAAAGGAATCCTTGTAAACCATCACATTGGTCAGACATCCTTCTAACTCTATCCAAAATGTCATCTAACATTTCTCTTCCAACTGTATAATGACCTCTGGCATAGTTGTTGGCCGCGTCTTCTTTACCGGCAATCAACTGTTCTGGGTGGAATAAGTCCTTGTAAGCACCCGTACGGACCTCGTCTATCACATTTGGTTCCAAATCAACGTACAATGCACGAGGAACGTACTTACCTGACCCAGTTTCACTGAAAAAGGTCGAAAATCCTTCTTCTCCTCCTTTTGGTCTGCTGTCTAATGAATCTTCTAAGTACCCATCCGGTCTAATTCCGTGTTCCTTGGAGTATAATTCCCAACAAGCATTACCAATCTGACAACCGGCTTGCCCAACTACACAGGTGTTAGTAATATGTCCATTTATGCCACTCAGATCCTATTTTCTTCAAATCCATCGTCAAACTCGACGTGTATCACGTCAGATCAATTCCTTAATTTTTAGTTTATAAACCTTCAACATACCATTAATACTAATAACTTCTCTCATAATATGTCTTTATCTATCTGCAATGTGTCTTAGATACGTCCTTGACTACTTTGTAAAGATTTATCTACTTGTAATTACTTAAACGTCTTCCTGTTTGTTTACCGCTTAGGAATCAATTTCTCGCTGTTTTAACCAAAAAGTTCGATTTCAAAACAAACAATCGTAGACTTCCCAAAATGGAAGTAGGTGAAAAATGTTTTCTACATCGCATTTTGACCATCCCAATTTGTGTAAATGCTGCAATCAATACGCTATAATTGTACATTCCTATATACTAAGAACAAAAGCCAAAGAAGGCTAAACAAAGTAAGATAGCCAACGGAATAAAAATTGAAAGCTACCTAGAAAAGAGAGTTCTTTACTTTTGACCATATGGACTCTTCTTCCTTTGGCTTTAAGCCTATCATTTCTTGGAAACCGTTCGAGGTGTCTTTCAACACATCGACTATGGATTTATCCCACTTTGTGTCGGAACCAAAAAAGATGTCAGATTGTTCATTAGCTAGTTTGACAAGCTGTTGACGAGTTAAGCTAGATAAAAGGTTGAAATTGTAGCCAAAGGATTGTAAGTAAGATCTCAAGTCCGCGTTGGAGTAGGAGACTAAAAGGTATTCCCAGCCGCTTTTGGCCGCATTTTCAACCTTTGGCATAGTTTCGGCGTAGGTACTCTGGATGGCTTCGTTTGCACTGCCGGCGTATTGCTTTGCGGTGTCGTAAGCACCCTTAGCGGTGTTGTCGACTATAGGCTTGTATTCCGCATAGGCGGCACTAGCGGCGTCAGATGCAGCTTGATATGCGTCTTGAAGTTTTCCTTCGTATTCATCAAAGTTCTTGCCCACTGCCTCGTTTATGGCATCAGCATATTCCTTTGCTTTCTCCGCAGCCTCGACGGCCTTTGGTCTGTACTGGTCGTAGCCCTTTTCGAGGGCTTCGTTAGCAGAATCGGCGTAATCCTTGGCTGATCCGTAAATGGTATTCATAGCATCCTCAGCTGCTGGCTTGTACTCACCGTAGTTCTTTACTATGGCATCATTCGCAGACGCAAGGTAGTCTTGTGCAACTCTGTAGGCGTCTTTGGCAGCCTGTTCAGCTATTGGTTTCTTTTCCTTGATGCTTTGCTCGACAAATTCATTAACGCTCTTCAAATATTCTTGAGGATCATTGGTAACCTCAGTTAATTTAGCTTTGCCTGATTTGAGCTGTTCAGTTAAAGAATTACTTAAAGAATTTGCAAATTCGGAAGCAGCGATTCCTGCGTTTTTCACCTGTTCTTCTACAACTGGTTTATTGTCAGCGTACTTACTAGAAGCATCATCAACAAATCGGTTGGCATATTCATATGATGCATCCTTAGCCTGAGATAAGGCATCATCTAACGAAAACTTGGATTCGGAGTACTTCTCACCGAGGGTTTTTGCAGCCTGCTTATAGTATTCGGCACCAATATAATAGGCGGCTAGCATAGTTTTGTCAGCAACCGAAGAATCAAGAGCTTCCTTAGCTTTTCCTCCACTTTCTTTAACGTTCTCATTGATCTTATCGAAAGATTCCTTAAATGATTTCTTATAATCATCTAAATCTGGCTTATACAAATTTGCCAGGAAATCAAACGTATCACTAGGAGCTAATGAATGTTGCAGGACATAGTTACTAATGCCATCAATCAAATCTTCTCTAGTACCCTTAACATTCTCGCCCTTGTTTTCTAACCACTCCCTAATTCTATCGGTGGACCAATTCTCAACTAACCATGATGCTGGGTTGGAATTTTGTTTATAGGCTAACTTGACATTCTTACTTCTCTTCACTAAATCGACCAATTGATGTTTGGATGCAAATTGTGAAAATTTAACGTCTCTGGATCTTAAGAACTCCTTCAAGCGATCCTTTGACCATTTCTCGACCCCAATTAAAAATGTGTCATTGATGACATTATCAAAGGTCTTCTTTTTGTCAGCTCCTTTTGAAAGATATGGGTCAGCTGTCTTTTTGGCCTTCTCACTCCATCTCTTGATGTCGGAGACTAAATAATTCTGATGAGACTTGGCAATCTTCTTCAATTTGTCCACATCCAATTCATCAACATAAACATCGGGCTTGGTGTTAATGAAGCCGTGGTAGTATAACCATTCCCTCAATTGGCCGTATGACCATGTATCAAAAAACTCGTCTTTAATTTCACCTGCCTTATCAAAAATATTTGCTTGCGCTAAATCAAGCGACTCCAACAAGGAATCCTTGTTGTCAATATTCGATAACGATGCAATATAATTATTGTGCTTAACCTTGCTCAATAAGCTCTCTCTGTCGCCCTTGGAGTCGAATTCTAATTCGTGGTCTCGTAACCATTGTTTTAAGCGATCAACGCTCCATCCCTGATAAATCCAGTCGCCAGGGTAGTATCCTGAAACATCGTGTCCCTCTGCAATATTGTCGTATTCCTTCTGCGCCAAATCAATTAAATCTTGCTTGCTATAATTCTTGTCAAACTTGATCTTATTATTGGTCAAGAAGTCCTTAAGGCCTTCGGTCGACCACGATTCGAAAATCCAATTCTTTACCAGTCTGGCATGTTCAGCATTGGACTCAAACAAGTAATTCCAATTGATATGTGCTGGGAAAATATTGGTCAATTCATCCTTCGGATTAGTTGCTAATATATGTTGCTGCGAATCGTCCTTAATAGTATCCCGGTGGATGTTTTTCAAATTTTCAAATTCCTCTTCCGCCTTCCTGCTTAACTCTTGGAACGACTCTTTCTCGCTGAAATCTATTTGACGATCCTTTAAAAAGTGTTTAACGTCTTTCTCTTTCCATGTCGATAATCCATCAGTTGCAGCCACTAAATTGCCCGCTAATAGACCTATCAATGCGAAATTAAATACCTTCATCACTTATAATTGAGAATATTTCAATTTTCCAATATGTCTTAATTGTTTGGGAATAAGAAATCTATGTTTACTTACTTATTTATAAAAGGAAGAATGGTCAGGTATATATTGATGGTTAATAGCAAGCAATTAGACTGGAATTTGGAACAATTATTAGTACCGGTCACGTGTGGAAATTTGTGAAATATGCCATGTTCCTAAATGAAAGCAATTAACTATTGAAAAGGAGTTATTTTGTGGTTCAAATGTAAGGGACTGGCTTGGGAGTCAGTCAGTTGCTACGAAAATTTTTTGCAATTTTCAGGGCTTTGCAAATGGCGCAATGCACGTATATGCCAAATAGCAAAATATGATGTTAGTAGAAAGCGATATGATCCGATAGTATTAGGAATTTTACAATTGGTGATACCGTATTCGAATTGTAGTAGACAGAGCATTGTCCCTTAAAATTTCTTGATGAAATCTTTGAGGTGGCAGGTTCTTATTCTGAATTTGACCGGTCATTAGGTGTTTGAATCGAGCAATTAAAAATGTCAATATGGCCGTGTAATTGAATGCATTGTCCATACAAACAGGGGTACTGTATTATACAGATCTCAGATCTGGGTTTTAATTAGGCCATGTTATGTAAAATCTGCAGATCTAAAAATTTCAAAGATTGATTTTTCAAAGTTTTGGAAATTATACAAAAAACTTGTAAAATTTGTGTGAACATGTCAATACAGTAAATTGTAGAGACAAGAACATGGTGCCATCATAACAGATGTATTTACTTATTTGTAATTTCCATCGGTCTTTGTTTACATAATGTAAGCCTCGAGAAAACTAATTTTGCAACTATGCGGTGTTATAAGTCTTCTGATCCTGAAATTACGATACAGAGCGCATAGATTGAAAAAAAGCAGCCAGGGAGGGATCACTAGGCGATAAGCTATAATGGTTACACGCCATTATTCATGCACTATCGATGTGGGAGATTACAGTCATAGAAAATTAATTAAGTATTGAATGGAAAGACTATCATCATTAGGCTAAAATAGTAATAAATAGATGGTGTTCCACGCACATCTATATAGAGCGAATAAAGAGAGAATAGATAAATAATAAATAAATCTAAAACAAAATAAAATGATCAACTATACAGTATTATATGAAATTAATCCTTTTGAGTATATTGTCTTCTGTACTTATCATCGATCTCAGTCAAATAATAGGTACCCTTAGCGAGAGTTTCGATACTACCAGATGGCTTGAATGACTTTTGTAAATGAGCCTTTTCTCTTAATTTGATAGCTTCAAGATATTGTTCTGGGGTTCTAGTAACTCTACCTTCAGACAATTTGTGGTCGAAGTCCAAATTCTTGGTAATTTTAGAAATATCACCATTAACAACAACGGACAACATGGTGGAGGCTAAACCAGAACCGTATGAGAAGACACCGATTCTCTTGTTTTGCAATTGTTCGGAACCAACATAGTACAATAATGAGGATAATGAAGCCCATGCGGATGCAGCATACATGTTACCGGTGTTAGTTGGAACATTCAAACTTGGTTGAACTCTGGTCTTGGTTTGTTCCTTGGCTAATCCAACGAAGACTTTTTCCAAGTTCTTGTCAACCAAAGATTGGTCGTAAGTCAAGTCATCGATTGATTTCTTGGTTTCTTCATCAATCAAATCCTTAAACTTAGATGGGTCCGCTTTGTAGTCATTGTACAATAATCTGGCGTAAGACTTGGTGACCAACTTACAGGTTGGGACGTGGAACGCGTTATAGTCAAAGTGGTCGAAAACACCAACAGTCTTATTGGCATCCTTGGTAACCTTCTTGGAGTAGTTCTTGTAACAGTGGTCAACAGCCTTGACATAACATGCTAACGAAAAGTGTCCGTCGACTATAGGGTATTCAGAAGTGAAATCTGGCTTGTAGAAATCATACGCGTGTTCCATAAATGAACCCCTGGTGGATTCAAACACAATTGGTGCATCTGGCCCAATCAACAACGCAACGGCACCAGCACCCCCGGTAGGTCTGGCTGCCCCCTTCGAATAGACGGCAATGTCACCACAGACAACAATACCATCTCTTCCATCCCACGAAGATGACTCGATCCAGTTGACTGTATTAATCACAGCAGATGTCCCCCCATAGCACGCGTTGATAGTGTCAATCCCTTCAATATCGTTGTTTTCTTCGAATAATTGCATCAACACTGACTTCACCGACTTCGACTTGTCCAACAACGTCTCGGTACCAACTTCCAATCTACCAACTTTGTTGGTGTCAACTCCGAAGTTTTTGATCAAATTAGACAAGACTGTCAATGACAAAGAGTAAATATCTTCTCTGTCGTTGACATATGACATATTGGTTTGTCCTAACCCAATTGTATATTTTCCAGCAGCAATTCCATCGAATTTTTCTAATTCTGATTGGTTAACACATTGTGAAGGAACATAAACTTCAATCCCTTTGATACCTACGTTTTGTGGTCTAGTCATATTGCTTCTTTACTACTATTTCTTGTATTATTTGGAAAAATGTTCTTTATCTTAACTTATTCTTTTAGCCGCCATATGAAATGTGTCTGGTTTTCTGTGAAAAATTGAAAATTTAAACGATTTAAACGACGCGATCTATGTGCAGTACGACGTGTTTTTTTCACGCGACATTCGATGATTAATGGGACATAATGATGGACCTATTGATGGTTTTACGGACATTGGAGACGTAATACGAGTGTATTCTGGATTTAGATCGAAGCATAATGAGGAGTGATATTCCAGAAACATTACGGAAATTTGTGAGCACGAAAACTGTGCACCAGACATGGGCAAAGACATTTTTTTGCAAGCCCCAGGCTATTTTTCAACCACGGACTGTGGATGAAATCAGGGAATTAGTGGAACAGGCAAGGATAAATGGGAAAACGATCATGCCAGTGGGATCAGGCCATTCTCCCAGTGATATGACGATGACCAAGGAGTGGTTATGCAATTTGGATAGGTTCAACCAGGTGTTGAAGAAGGAGGAGTTCACTGGTCCGACCAAAAATGGAGAAGGTGAGGAGGTGAAGTTTGTGGACTTGACGGTACAAGCAGGGTGCCGTATATACGAGTTGAACCGGTACTTGAAGGAGCATGAGTTGGCTATCCAGAATTTGGGATCCATCAGCGACCAGTCTATGGCGGGGGTGATTTCGACGGGAACGCACGGATCGACCCAGTACCATGGGTTGGTGAGTCAGCAGGTGGTGTCGATTGAGATCATGAATTCGGCTGGGAAGTTGATAACATGTTCGTCGATGGAGAACACTCAGTTGTTTAAGGCGGCCATGCTTTCATTGGGTAAGATTGGGATTATCACGCATGTTACGCTCAGAACGATTCCAAAGTACACCATAAAGTCCAAGCAAGAAATCATCAAGTTCGATACCCTTTTGAAAAATTGGGACACTGTGTGGTTGGACTCGGAGTTTATCAGGGTGTGGTGGTTCCCATACTCGGGCAATTGTGTTTGTTGGAGGGCTTCGAAGTCGTCCGAGCCATTATCGGCACCAAGAGATTCATGGTATGGCACCTGGTTTGGAAGGACGTTCTACGAGTCGTTGTTGTGGATCTCGGTTCACATATGTCCTCGTTTGACTCCACTCATTGAGAAATTTGTGTTCAAGAATCAATACGGCGACGTGGAAACTCTTGGTTATGGCGATGTTGCAGTTCAAAATTCAGTTGAAGGGTTAAATATGGATTGCTTGTTCTCGCAATTTGTCAATGAGTGGTCTGCGCCTTTGAACCTGGGCCAGGAAGTCTTGATTAAATTGAATGATGTGATTCAAAGTGCCCGTGAGCAAAACAGATTCTACGTTCACGCTCCAATCGAAGTTAGATGCTCTAATCTTACGTATCCAGAGAAACCATTTGTGGATGACAACGATGAGCCTTCATTGTATCCAAATAAAAAGTGGTTAGCCAAAAGAGACAGACTCAGTCCTGGTCCTATTCCAGGTAACAATTTGCGTCCTTACCTTGACAATTCTTCAAATTTGAGATATGATGGCGATGACGCAAGTGTGACAAATGATCAATTGACTTTGTTTATTAACGCTACAATGTATAGACCTTTCCACACCAATGTTGTTTCCCAAGAGTGGTATCAATTGTTTGAAGATATAATGACGCATGCTAGTGGTAGACCACATTGGGCCAAGAATTTCATCGGTGTAAATGGTGCACATAGAACTGATGAAGATTTGCAGAAACAGCTCGAATTTGGCGGTAAAGCTTCGTACAGTATGAAGGGCTTCAATCCAATATTGAAAGATTGGTTTGGGGAAAACTTGGTTGAATATAATAAAGTTAGAAAGTCGATGGACCCGGATAACGTCTTTTTAAGTGGTAGAGACTGGGCTGTGAGAAATGGTATTTTAATAGATGTTTGATTATGCTTTTTTTTTGCAACTTTTATTTATAACTTCATCTATTATATATGAATTAATGATTACTGATATACATACGCTATTTGAATGGAGCTTTTAACGGATCAATAACTGTACCTTGCTTAGTGATGATTCTAGGCATAGTCAATTTTTGATGGGTCTCTCTAGAAGTCCATTCTTGACCCACAGGCATTCTCAAAGCTCTTTCATATTGTTCTCTAGACTCGTAAGGGAATGGAACTCCTGATGATTGGTATTTCAAGTTCTTCTTGTTGACCTTTTCGTTAATGATAACGTCCTTTAAATTCTTATCCTTTCTCTTATCTTTTTGAACAACACCGTCAATTTTACGCACTATCTTCTTCTTAGGTTTTTTCTTCCCTCCAGCCCAATCACCCCATCCTGGTAATGTTACATCTTCTTCTTTATCACCTTCATCTTTAATAACCTGTCTTTTCTCTTTCTCGAATTCCCGTACAACGTCGTCCCCCGCGAATGCCTGTTTAATTAAGTTCTTTTGTTTGAACATAACTCCATCGTCCTTAACTTCATCATCTGAATTCTCATTATCACTATCGTGGATATCTTTTGCCTTCAAAGTTTCATGCATATCAATTATAGTGTCTTCATCATCTCTTTGTGAAGCACTTCTCTTTTTATTTTTAGAAATCTTTTGAGCCGATTTTGATAATTTAGATGAAGTCTTATCAACCTTGTGAATCTTTCGAGACTTCTGCATCGCTTCTTCAGAATCATTACCTGCTAACCAAGGATTGACATCCTCAGCTTCATCTGATGCTTTCAGCTTGTTTTCTTTTTCAACATCCTTAGATAAATTATTCGGTTTTTTATTAGAAATAGAATTATCCACCACTTTAAATTTCTCACTTAATCTATTCTCTAAATTGTTAGATTCATCATCTCTAAGTTCATTTAAGGTTTTTTGATTGACTTCATTAATATCGGATTTCATGGATGATGCATTTGGAGTGTAGACTCTTCTACCTTGATTCTTTGCAACATTAATAGACGTCGCATCTTCTTGAAATTCATCTAAGTCACCACCATTTTCTAATTTCTTTAACAATTCTAATTCTTTCAAATTTTCTTGTTTGTGACGTTTGTCGGCAGATTTCATGAAGTCCATTGCCAATACACCCTTACCTAACTTATTTCTATTTATATCATCAGTTTCATTGGTTTCATCATCCTTGGCATATTCATCTTCAATATCAGAAACGTCCTGGTCACTTTGATCACCATCTTCATAACCTAATTGCTTAGATCTTAATTTTTCACCTTGTCTTAACATTTCTTCTAAGTCATCTCTATTAGATGCGTCTTTTGATAATCCACTCTTAATCATTGATTTAGCCCATTTAGATTGAGTTTTATGCTTCAATAACATTCTTTCTTTGGCTCTCTTCATATCATGATCTTCATTATCAGATTCCATATCAGACCCCTCAACCATTTCTTGAGTTCTTAATCTTTCCTTCTTTTTGATTTTATGATATGTCTTGGATTTTATCTTTTTAATACGCTTGGCCCTCTTTTCATCACGGAACATTAATTCTCTCATTAACCTCAACTCATTAGTTCTCTTTTTCAACTCTTCTGAAGATAATTTCGCTGCCGCAATCTCTTCGAACGTGGCTTCCTTCTTATCGTCAGTTAATGCAGAGTCTTTAAGAATGCCTTGAATCTTCTTCTCCAATTCTGTGCTAGGCTCATTCGAGGATCTGAATGTGGTAGCGGTATCATTATGCTTGACCTCTGGGTTCAAAGGAAAATTTAATACTTCGGCCTGCCTGTTCTGTTGGACGGTATCTTCCCATTTACTGATATCTTCATTGGTAATCTCATACGCGATTTGTCTTTCATTTCTTTCTTGTATACGCTTTGGAAGTGGAGTGGCTAATGCCTTTTGTTTGCTATTATCTTCACCATCGATTAAAATGGCATCCTTCGATACAGATGGATCAACCGCTGATATCATATCCTGTAACGACAATGTCACACCCTTTGTTGGCAAATTGAATTCATTTTCATCAGTAGCTTCAGCAATCAATCTTTTTCTTTCTTTGGCTGGTTTCTTTAATTGCGATTGTAATTGAGATACAGTGTTTGCTAAATCAATCTCGTCGTCATTCTCATTTTCAGATGCAGACTTAAAGATATCTTCTTCATCGTCACTTTCTTCGTCACTTTCTTCCTCACTGTCTTCTTCTGAAGATTCAGATTCCCATGCATCATCCAATACAAGATCATTCTTATCATTAGACTTCTGAAGGCTCTTTGCATCTTTTTCATCCATATCCCATGCTTGTGATAAGGTAACCAATTGGCTTTCGTCTATACTCGCATACCCTTCATCCTCATCCTCATCTTCACTTTCACTGTCTCTATATTCGCCTCTCTTTCTTTTCTTTTCATTCAACTTCCTTTTCTTTTCTTTGTCTCTAATGGTCTGGGAAAATTTTGAAGTTAAAACATCATAATCGTCATCAGACCCTAATGCTTCATCCGAGTCTAATTCTTCGTCACTGAGTCCTTCATCATCTTTACTCTTATTAGCCAAAAATTTACTAGCATCCATTATTCCATCGTGGACTTCTAAGTCATCTTCATCACCAGGACGATTGTCCGAATCATCTTCTGATCTATTTTCTGCACGTTCTGCAATTTGAAACGCATCAAGGACCTTTTGGGAACTTCTCTTCCTAGTAGAAGACTTATTCTTACTATTCTTACGTGCCATGATCGTATTATCGCCAATAAGTTCTATAGTTTCTTAGAAGATTCTTTGTCGACTCTTGATGAGCTTCTTGCAGCTGAGATGGTTCTTAAAAAAAAAAAAAAAATTATTGAAGAGCTGCGCACGTGACGATTTATATTCTATGAAGACTATAGACTATATAACTACAACAGTGAATCGTATATCATTGTGTATTAATTAAGGAAGACTATCTAGTGGATTATAATGCATCTAATCTATCGTTAATTTCTTCTGCAGACAATTTTCTGAATCTTGGACCCTCAACGTTAGTACCTTTAAAACCTAACAAGTGTTCTTGGGAATCGCTAACAATTGCGATGTCCAAGTTTTCACCAGTTAATTCACCATCTACAGATTCTTTCAATGCCAACAATGAAACGTGGATAGCATCTTCCAATTCTAAATTTTCATTCCATCTCTTTTCCAAGAATGTTTTAGCGGAAACAGAGGTTTTGCCGATTGCGGTGGCCTTCCATGGGAAATAACTCCCTGAAGGGTCAACCTGATATAACTGGAAAGAATCCGAATGCTTGTCGTAGCCTCCAACTAGCAAGGAAACACCAAATGGCCTGATACCACCGGATTGCGTCGATTCTTGCATTACTTTTGCAATTTCTTGAACCATCACCTTCACAGGCGGATATTCATTATAAATTCTTTTGTAGTTTGTGTGCGCAAGTTTACGGGCCTTATCGACAAGCACCCGGAAGTCTGGGCCCATCCCTGAGTATGACATACCAATATCTGGCGTAATTAATTCCACTTTATTATTGGATTCTGCTTTAAGAAGATTGGAGTTGGCCTTACGTTCTGTGGCAATCACAACCCCATTGGCCGACTTGATACCGATGGTAGTAACACCTTGTTTAACTGCATTTAACGCATATTCAATTTGTACCAATTTACCACTATTATTTGTTAGTATTCCGTCATCTCGAAGATATAATCGACACTGAAAGGTCAATTCGACTACCACACACCATCGTGTGCCCAGTATATCTCTAATTCCCGATCAAAATTACGTACCTTGGTGAAAATGTTGTTAATGAGAATGAATACCTATCAGCCATTGTATGAAAATTTTATACGCCTAAAATTGTTTTTAACTATATTTGCTTGGATTACAATACAATAAATCTCTTCTCTAGTTCAAGATGCAATTCAGCCGCTGAAAATAACTGTAAATTATGATTAATAGATATATAAGTAATGCTACTTGATAGAGAATTCGAAATCTTTTGCCTTCGAGTGTTGATACACCAAATGTCGCGATTCGGGATGCACGACATATACAAATGTCGTACGACACAGAATGATTCAAGAAACATTTATTAAGAACTAATATACATTATAAATAGATTATTGACAGGACCAAGCCTAATCTTCATCTTCATCATCAGTATCTGGATATCTTGGAGTACCCTTTGGACTGTTTAACCAGTCAATGTAACGCAATCTTCTTCTTTCAGCTTGGGCTTTCTTTTCGTTTCTAGTCATCTTCTTCTTTCTAGTTCTGACCTTGATATTAGCCGGAGAGTCATCGTCATCAGCTCTCTTCTTAACAGGAGTTGGAGCAGGAGAAGGAGAGGCGGAATCGCCGTCTTCGAATCTCTTGTTGTCAACGGCAGTAGTACCCTTTTGGACAACTTCACCATTTTCAACGTGCCATTGTTCTGGACACAAGGCACCAACGAATTCATTATTATGCGAGATCATAACAACACCACCAGCCCAATCTCTAATAGCAATAGCCAAACCTCCCAAAGAGTCACGATCCAAATAATTGGTAGGTTCATCTAAGACTAACAAGTGGGGATTATTCCACATGGCACCAGCAATGACAACCTTGACTAATTGACCACCAGATAAGGATCCCATAGGGGTGTGATCGGCAATATCACCGTCTAAACCAACCCCTTCAAAATGCTTTCTGATAACTGTAGGAGTCAATTCACGGTAACCCAAACCTTCTCTAGATGCTTCGTGATCATCGAATTTTTGGAGTAACTTATTGAAACCATGTTCAAGCAAGACTTCCTTTGGAACCCAAGAGTTATACTTTGGTAACCACCATTTCCATTTGATTTCATATTGGTAGGACTTCTTCAACTTTTGTCTACCAACAACGGCTTCAATAGCTCTTGCTCCTCTACCATCTTGAATGTCAATTTCTTTTGCCATTTGTTCTTTTTCGTCTTCAGAGATTTTACGCGATTCCTTCAATAAAACTTCACGGTCATCACCAAATCTATATCTCCATTGCAAGTATTGGTTTGCAGTCTTTTCTTTGTGTTGTTCAACATGTTGTAAAGCATGTTGGGCAATATAACCAATTCTTAAATTAGGATGCTTTTCAACCTTACCTTGGTTAGGGTTTAATTCGGCAGTTAACAATTTAATCAAAGTAGACTTACCAGCACCATTTGGACCTAAAATAGCCACACGGGAGGATAATGACAAAGAACATGAGACGTTTTCCAAAGATGGTTTAGCTGCACCTGGATAAGTAAACGTAACATTAGACATACGAGCAACAGCACGCGTGTTAGATTTAACACCTGTTAAAATACCTGGTGGTGGGAATGCCATCTTGACATTTGAATCGGACAAAGTATAGTATGATTTTCCTTCTGGCTTAACCTTCACGAATTCTGATAAATTACCCTTGTAATAAGCTAACTTCTTATTTTCATAGTGGATAATATCGGTACAGACCTTATCTAAGAAACCGGAATCATGCGAAACAATCAAAGATGTGATATTAGTGTTCTCAATTAAATAGTCTTCAAGCCATTTAACATTGGCAACATCCAAGTGATTTGTAGGTTCATCTAATAATAAGACATCAGCCTTCATTAACATTGCCCTGGCTAATTCTAATTTCATCTTCCAACCACCCGATAAAGAACCGACTTGTTGGTCCAATCTTTCTTGAGGAAACCCAACAGCCAACAAAGCCTTAGAAATGTCTTCACGGCCAACACCTTCTAATTCTGGGTCGGAAGCGATGAAACCAACCAAATCCATATCAGCTTCTGAACCTTGTAATTTATGTTCAACAAAACAAGTTTTTAATTGATCTGGAGTTGGGAAACCTTCTAATTGACCTTTAGAGATGGCTCTCATCAAAGTAGACTTACCGGCACCATTTCTACCACATAAACCATATCTGTGTCCTTTGATTAAACGCAAGTTAGTTTTATTCAACAACATACGAGAACCGTATGCTAAGGAAAAGTCAGCATTGACAATTTCGATAGCACCTTCCTCATCATCATATACCCTGGTGGAAACAGCAGTGAATAAATCTCTTAAATTAGCGAGAACCTTGTTAACATACTTTTCTTTTAATTCATTATCGGAATCAGCGATAGCCATGTTTAAGTAATCAGTAAGACGTTTCCAATCGTTAACATTAGCGTCAGCTTGTACAATAAATGCTAAATAATTGGAAATAATTTCGTCAGAATCGACATGCAAAGTTTGTGCAACAGATTTCAATTCATCATCCATATTTTCTGTGTAGAATTCTCTTGCTTGAGTCAAGTTAATTCTTCCATGGAACATACCATCAGATTGTTCGTCCTTTGCGTCTTGCAAAACGGATAAGGCCTTTCCGGCTAATTCTCTGACTTCTGGTAAAGATGCATTATTAACAACCTTTTGTACCCCTGGTAAAAGAATTGGAATATAGACTTCAATTTCACGCTTGTTGTTAACTAATCTAGTTAAATTTTCAGTAACAGTAACAGTCTGTCTTAATTGATCATTTGAAGTAGACGACATATTTAATGACTTATCCAAAATTGGAACCAAAAGCGATAAAACTGGTTCGGTAACTTCAGCAACGAAGGTAACAGACGATAAATTTTTGATACATTCTGGAACTTTCTTTGGATCAGATAACGTTTCAACGATTAATTCAAACTTGTTCTGTAAATCCAACGAGTCCAAAACCTTGACGAATTTCATCATAACTTTTAAACCATGTTTGGCCAATTCCGGCTTGAAATCTGTTGACAAATCAGTTAAAACAGGAACAGTGTTAACGAACTTCAACTCTAATAAATCCGCTGGAACGTCATCTATCAATTTATCAAAGGTGTCCAATGCTGCCATTTTCGAATTCCACTTAGCTGAAGATGATAAATAATTCAATAATGTATCAATTACTATGGAACCAGCTGCTTCAACTGGGAAAATACCATACAATGAATCAGCTGCAGTTTTAGCAGCCTTAACACAGTTCTTATCTTTATCAGCACACATGTCGTAACAAATGCTGAAAAATTGCAAGAGATATGCTTCGCTTGGTGTTTGTCCACCGAATTTCATAACCAATTGTTGAATAATTATCATGGCAGATTCTCTGACTAAAGGAGAATTTTTAGGCTTGGATAATGATTTAATAATGTCAGTTAACTTCCATTCATTAATAACCGATAAAGATGACTCCGAAACAATATTAGCAATAGCTTCAGCTTCAACCTTAACTTCGGAGATCTTAGAAGCATGTTCAATGTTCCATAAGTTTTCTTGGATTGGAGTGTCACCAACATTCAACTTACTTAATGCAGTATTCAATGAGGTTAAAGATGCAGTAGACGAGTTTGGATTTGGAGTAGCAGATCCACTTCCTGGTAACGAACCATTAGGGGTGCTACCATACGAATCTTGAAACGGAGTACTTCCTCTATTGGAATATACTTTGTTATTAAGGCCTCTGTTGACAGCCTGCCCTTTAGGTTGTTGTTGCTGCTGGGCTTGCTGCTTCAAAAATTCATCAAATGATTGAGGCGCCATTTTGAATATGTATATAGTCTATAGTACCAACAATCTATACTTGAACTTATAATTAAAAGCAAATCTGTATATGGAATTATGGAATTTCGATTAAAATTTTCGAGAAGAGCTGTAAAAAAAAAAAAAATTCTGAGCCGCAGACTCAATACAATAGGAAGAACGATTTCAGTATATTGATACGATAAAATAGACTAATACTATCTATTATGCAGTAAACGTGTTTAGATCGTAAATAGCCAAATTTTCTATGGAATTATTGGAGACCGTGGCCAAAATAATTTCACCATTGGCATATAACAAAGTATTGGGTAAAGGAGAAATGTTGATATGATGTAATAAGGAGAAATTCAAATCGTAAAATTGAATATGACTTCTGTCTAATTTAGCGATGGCATACTTTTTCTGATCACTGACTAAGATAAGACTAGAATTCTGGGCGAACGAGCCATTGAAATTTGTTTCACTTATTGATGTCCTTTTAACTAAATCATATACTCTTAATTTAAAGATATCCTCCTTAACTTCAACAAATATGGCTAAATGATCATTGAAACATACGTCTTTCGTGATATCTCCATGCTGTTCGTCGATCAAAGTGAAGTATTTTTTCAGGACAAAATTGAATCTGATTAACTGATAGCCTAATTTAAGGATGATCTCATACGGAGAAAGAGAAACATCGGTGCAAGATACCGTTCTCTTGTGGGATTTACCCTTATTAGATTTTGGTGACAATGCCTCTGTTATGGACGTAGTATCGTCGTTTTTGAACCAGTGGACCACCTCAAACATATCAGATTCTTGTAAATTTTGCAACTTAAAGAAAGTTTTGACGTATGATCCAATTTCGGTTTCAGTTATCGAATTCATAGCATCCACCATCAAATTGTAGACTTTGAAAAATGGAGTCGATGCAGGTTTTTGTAAACCAGTTACAACAAGACCAAAGTTTCTAGATTCAGGACTAGACTTATGACTAAATTCAATCAACTTGGATGAATTCAAAGTTGTTGGTGCAAGGTTAAGAATACAAGACTTAGATATTTGTGAATTTTCATTAAGTTTGATATGGTCAACAGTTCCGGACTTATAAATAATCAATAAGTAGATCGTCAGATTACTTTCATCGCGCGAAACACAGTATATATCAATAATATTGGTAGGTTTTTCAACGATGGTATCTGTAAATTCTTTCGAAACAACCAATTTGTTCAATGACGTCGACCACACATTTAGGAAAACCAAATTTTCGTCTGACTTGTGGTCA